ATCCTCTGCAAATGCGTCCTAAAAATGTTTTATTAATATGAATGGTTACTTCTGGGTTTACCATGAACGCTTTTTGTTAAAACAGTATTTCTGTAATGAAAACGTTACCAGATCATTCTGAAAACCTCTGTGCACGTGTATTAAGAATGTTTGATTTATAATGTAATATCCGATTAACATTTAAATGTGTTGATTGATTGTTATTTGTGTTTATCGAGCGCTTCTCTCGCAGAGACAGAAGTACTGACAGGCGCCGTGTTGCTGAGAGCTCATTGACGAAGTGGCCGGACTACTTGAGGAGTGGTCTTTACACCTTACCCTGTCCCCTCCATAAACCACACGGTAGCGTCATCCATGGCTCGCCGCCGCTCGGGGTGCACACCGGGTTTGCGCGCGCCTGTTCAAGTTCTCCTTCCGCGTACGTAGTACCAGGTGACCGGTCAAACCGAGCGCATCTTTGGCTAAGCCATTTATACTAGGGCTATGCACGCTTTCAGTGTTCTATGTGATTCCTTTTTGTATTGTTGCTTTGTTTAATGTTTTCTCCCACTTTCATTGAAGAAAATTAAAGCGGAGGTATGTAAAATAATAAGATTGATAATTAGAGTTGAGTTTAAACAATGAAAGGTTATTTTTTGTAATATGTGTATTAATTATGCTGTGTAACGCCCATGGGAGAGGCTTGGGGCTTAAGAGGAGAGCTTCTTGGGCTGTACAGGGAGTCTGTGTCTGGTTGCAGTCTACCTTGGCATGCAAAGGTTATGTACGAAACTTATGTACTGTTGTAAATATGTACATATATGGTTTTTTACACTTTATTTGTAAATAGCACTTCCCACAACAAGTGCTCATGGGCAAAGTTTTTCTCCAACTTGCTCTGGCAAGTTGAAAAGTAAACTCCTGTAGCTCAGTAGCCGTTTGTGTCACACTCATTATATTGGGCTTGATACTGATGTTTATATCTTGATATTGTCTTTGTAAATATCAAGATTTAAATATGTCGCATGGCGCCGTAAAGATGGCGCCGTGGCAAGAGCTCTGGTGTGTGTCGTCTGGTGCACACTGGGGTAGTCTTGCACAGTTTTTCCTATGTGGTTTTATTGCAAATGGCAAATAAATGAATCTGAATCTGAATCTGATCTAAATCTAGATAAAAGCCATATAAGGATTGATCATGAAGATGCCTTCATTCATGGGGGAAACTCCAGCTTGACATAGCAACCATGTTAGCAACAGATCGGCCCCTGTCACGTGCGAAGAGAACCTCGAAATAAAAGCCCATTAAAGAGAATTTGCTCCAGCTTCTCCTAATCAGTCCACTCCTAATGTGCGGTCCATGCTTGGAGGTAGTAATCAACTGTGTGACAAGACGTCACACGGACGTCACAAAGACGTTAGCTATTTGTGTATTTTAATTATAATGATAATAATTTATTTTATTTAAGGAAACTTTTTCAGACACCTTACAATAGAATTACAAAGAAATATATATAAAACATATAAAAACATAGTCATCTTCATAGTCTTCTTAAACACCCTTTTAGTACTTTACAGCCTTTGTTCTTCCATTTTCTTTGAATTATTAATAACTACAAAACTGCCTTATGATTTGAGTCTGGAACCGATTATCAGACTTTTTGAAGCTGCATTATCGCATCAATCCATTCCATCCTCTGTCAGCTGAAGTGACAGTTGCTTTTACTGCATCTGCTGCATGCATTGTGTGAACTGAAAAGGGTTGTCCATTAATAATAGACTATCAGGGAGAGCACGGAGCATTAGCCACTGCACAAATTAACCATGAGGCTGCCGCACGATGTTGTTTAAACAAGACAAAGTTTGCATTCGTCTGTAGCAGTTTCTCTCTCTTTAAATGTGCTGCAGCGTCCGCACATCTTTCTTTTCTATCAAACTAAATAACAGATGTTCATACAATAGCTACACAAATGAGGAAGCATGTCCTTGGGCTAATTGGTGGAGAAATCCTCCAGGTAAAACCAGACTGTAAACAAGAAAATAACAAGAAATCTGCTGTTTTGTGAAGGTAGTAGAATTTTCTATATCTAAATTTGTCTACAATATAAATACGCTGAAGTAGGAAGTGTTGGAAAGAAGATGGATGCTGGAGTTTTGATGTGATTAAACCAACAAAACATCTACTTCCATCTGAAACTTAATGAAAACACAAGTCCAGTCTCACAATGCATTAAAGGCACTGATTCTCAAAGTTTGTCATTTCATTTGGGCAAGCCTTGAGGATCTGCTAAAAGTGTTCTGAAACGTTGATTATTTCATGAACACATCAACGCATCCCCAGAGTCTGGAAAATGGGGCTTAAATTGTTATATTTTATTTCTCAGGAGATACAAATGTGTCTCACCTTTTTTTCCTAACATTTCACCAGGAACAATGGATAAAAGATGAACTGCCCCACTTAAGGAAAGGAATTAGAATTTCAAGTATCTCCACGCCTTGTTCACGGTGAGCGAAGGATGGAGCGTGACTGATCGGTGCAGAGTGTGCAGTGCTGCGGTCGCTGTATGGGACTGTTGTGATGTAGAGGGAGCAGCGTCTGCAGTCAGAGCTGTATCGGACTGTTGGGGTGAAGGTGGAGCCGAATCGAAAGGCAAAGCTCTTGATTTACCGGTCAATCTAGGTTCCCACCATCTCCTACGGTCATGAGCTTTGAGTAATGACTAAAAGGATGAAGTCACAGAGACAAGCACTTAGAGATGGGGTGAGGACCTCAGTCGCCTCAGATGTGCGGGAGGAAGAGCATGTGGAGAATCTTTTTGAGCCATGGCACACCTTTCTCATTCTAAACGGTCACACGGCACGCCACCAGATGAAACTGATACAAAACTTCATTAAAATCACGAAGTCATTCTTATCAAAGTGTAATATGCAGAAAATCCAACATACACACTCAATTCTTTCTAATCTTCAACATTATTTTGAACAAGTAGGTAGGATTGGATCACTTCCAAAGGCACACCAACGTGACATGGCATACTGGTTGAAAAACACTGCTTTAAGATACTCTAGTCAAGCAGTAAAGATTTTTAGATGTTTTTTTTTTGTGTTTTTCAAATCAAAAGCTGCAAAAATGTGATTGTTTTGAGTGACATGGACTGTGGATTGTGGCATTGCCAACGGGAAACGTCAAGCGCCAACTTCAGCCCTGACTAAATGTCTCAGTTGGAGACGTCTATTCATCCATTTTTCCTCCGTTTTGATGGTTGGCAAATAATTCCCATGTGAGATATTTTTCTCCAGGGTATGTGTGGCTGGATAGAAGCGTCCAGGGCTGTGCAGAGAGGCTCTCCGTGTCTGACACAAGGAGAGCCTCAAGATCCAACATCCGCTTCATAGATTTCCTCAGGTGACCTTCAGAAAAACACTGTGCTCTGGGAAAAAGATGAAAGCTGCTGTGGCGCCGTCTGATAAAGACTTCATTCCTTTTTTGTTATGGAAATGATCAAAAGTTATTATTTCCTGCTTTTTTAAAACTGTTTGATTTGCAATTTTCAGGCAATTTTGTACGACATGGGATATTGGCTTACGTGGCATTTTTGTATTTAGATTGTTTTTATAGCACAAGATTTATTAAACCACAAGATTGTTTTTGTATAAAATGTAGTATTGTTAGTATTGCATAAGTCTGTGTATAATTTATCAGTCCAGGTGCTGAACAGCTGATGCAAAGTACACTGGCGTGTCTGCTATTTCAGTGGTTTAGTTCTACAGAACATATGCATGATAAATGACTTTTCTAATAACTTTTGCAAATTAGCAAATGCTTGCTAAATGAGGCCTTAACAGTTTAGAATCAAAAACTCAAAACTTAACAAAAATTACTGCAAAATACCCAAAGAATGATGCCTGTATAGTTAACATTCTTGCACTTCTTAGAGGTGGTTTTATCTTCCCGCTGGGGCCAGGGGTGAAAAAGATGTTTTAAATCTCAGTGGGACTATATCACACTTTCTATTGTGTAGAGATTATGTATGATATATATATTTGTATACATGTTTTTGTTTGTGACCTGGTATTAAAAAATCTGATCCTATAAAATGGTAGAATAAAAATGATACTTTAAAGCAGGGTGCCCAAACCTTTTAGTAAGAGAGCTACTTTAGTTCATTTTTTACAGTGGTTTTTAAAACTGTTTTGGTCGTTTTCAAGCTGCTCATGAGGTAGGACATATTTTGTTGACTGAATGACAGATGTCCATATATTCAGATTAGCAATAAAACCACATTTCAGACTTTTAGATCTGTTTGGACTGACTGTTTATATTATATTGTGTTTTTTTTTCTTTTTTAAGTAAAGTAAGTAAGCAATCTTTATTGATAAAGCGCCTTTCACAAACCAGAGTCACAAGGCGCTTTATCAATTGTTGAGGGCGTTTGTCTCTCACTCCTCACAGAGTTGGGAGCAGGGTCGCAGAACAGAAGGCCAGACCTATTGTGCTTATTATTAGTGGTTGGGGAAACCAGAGCATTTTACATTTCTATTGTTTTCAAATATGAAGCAATTGAATTTGAGTCTGAGATAAAGATGAATAATGTCAATGCTCTTTGATAATTACAGATAAACATTGAATACGGACACTTTTTGCACCACCAAGTCTGTGATCAAGGGCGTTACAAGTTATTCCTCTCTTTAAAAATGGCGATAGACATGACTTTAATTAGCTATAGGCCAGTGTCATTGCTTTCTCAATTTTCAATATTATAAAAAAAATATGTATAAATAAACTGGATAGTTTTACAGAAACTGATAAATTACTCAGTGTGATTTTTGGTCCAATCAGTCAACAAATTTGGCTATAACAAAAACTGTAGAAGACAGTTCAACAGGTGTCGATTTCTTTCAGTTGAGAAATATTTCTTCTGCACTTTCCTCAATCGTTGATCTCTCTGATGTCATAGTCTAGTCTCTGGTGATGCAACAGCAGCAGACAGAAAAGAAAAAGGCGGTCTGAGTTCTAACGGTCCATGGCAAAAGGTGTTACTGTGGCAACCGGATGTGGCTCACCAACCAAAGATCTGCCTTGTCACATTGTTCTCATCTCCGCTGCTTCTCACTCTTTCAACCCTCGCTCTCTCTGGACGTTTGGAGCCTGGATCACGCCCTCTTTGTCTCCCGTGTGCTTCCAGGTGGACGTGGGGGTCGTGCACTTCACTCCACTGGTGCAGCCCCAGATCCAGCAGCCCTTCAAGCTGGTGGAGAAGGTCGTGCGCAACATCTTCCAGTTTCGACGGAAGCACTTTTACAAAGGACTAGAGTAAGTATTTTCCCACCGGAACAATTGTAGTAGGCGCAGTATCGAGCACAACATATTATGGGCGTTGGTAAGAATTAGAGAGTGTGGGTGGAGGGCTTTGGATTACAACGTGAGCAAGTATTATACAAGTATTATATTGTTATGCAATATTGTTATGGTGACTGTACAAACCACTGGAAAGAACTCTTGTTTCTTCTTGACAATACCTGTTGGAGCCTCTATCTCCTCTATCGGCCTTACGCACCCTTCACCATCTGTTATCGCCAAGTTATTAAGTTATCAACCTCTTTTCTAAACCCTAAAGTTAATTAACCCCAAGTTAGTAAACATTGAATTATGAATATATATCCCATTTTACAGACCAAGGTCACAAAAAAAAGAGTTCAGATATTGTTCTCTCCACACGGTGATGATGGAAGCCAAACGTCGAACACACGGGTGCAGCAAAGCCTCCAACCAGCACCATCCATTCACTCTTTACATTCATGCCTAATGTGTCAATCTGATAACTTTTATTGGCTTTTTGTTGTTTTTATCAAGTTTTTTTTCTCAACTGGTATTTTGTTTTATTTATTACTTTGTCCATGTTTTGCTTCTATTTTTTTAAAGCTGGCAAAACTGTATATTTAAATGTGTTAATTTTCTTTCTGTGCAAAACTTATAAAATGAGGACCTCACGGCTGTGAGACATGCAAGTTCTAACCGCTGTATCCCCTAACCCTAACCCAATGACGCATTGATCCTGGGCTGTTAATTACTTAATTACTTACTTGCTTAATTACTAGTGTGACATCACAGGGACGCGCTGTCCTGTCTGTACTCCTGCACCGGCGTTGTCAGTATCTGTCGTCGTGTCTAATGCGAGTGTTGACTGGTGCAGGATGAAATGAAAGTGCAGACCTCCATCTAGAGGCACACTTCCATTTCCTTATACAATTTTGATTCAGATGGTGCTTACAGACAAACAGACAAATGCAGGTGATCACTTTACCTCCAGGGCAGAAGTAAATATGCAGCATTACAGATGTTTGACGATTGTTGAGAGCAGATGTATATAAATCTACAATAGAATGTATTTCTGGGGAAGGACAGTCCACATTATGAGAGTAAACAAACTGTTCCGCATCAAGGCCCTTTTCTGAATAAAATCTGCTCACATTCATGAGTCGGGCTGCGGTTCTGCACGACTGAACACGATGACTGTCTGTGATTTGAAAAACAAAACAGTTTATATTTGCCTTTCTGCAGCAGGCAGGGGTCTCCTATAGCGCAGCAGATACAGAATGTTTATAATGTTTATTTATTGTGGATGGCCCCTTGAGATGAATCATCTCTTTTTCGAGGGGGTCCGGAAGAAGCTCACCTCATGCTTTCAGAGAGCCCCCACAGGATTGAGCATTGAATCACATCCCCTTTAAAGATGCAGTCAATTATTCATCCAGACGCAATTTTTAAAATACTGTGGGGAAACGTCCCTAAACCTCAAAAGTAGTGAAGTTATCATGTGTTTTCAAAAAGGAATGGACACGACCAGATGCGAAGCTTAAAAAAAAAAAAATCATAAATATTTTGGAGCTGACCGATAGAAATAATCCAATGGAATGCTTCTCGGATCATCGTGGTTTTAAGCTCCCACAGATTTCCCATTCCTCCATGCATCTCTTCTCACAAACTTAATCATATAATAGATCAATGTTAAAGCAAGTTAGTAAGTATGTAACTGACATGCCTTTGTTTACAAGTTGCCTCTGCGCACGTGCACCAAGGCACATTTGTGGCGCAGTAGTGTTTGGAGAGATCCGGTTATTTATCAAAGGTGTTGGGGACCACTGTCAAACATGACATGTGGTCCTCGGAGGCTTCCGTAGTGTGGGTGGTAGAAGGAGACTTGCAATATATGATCTTGACGCTCGATGGGAGTATTAATTACACAGTGTATCTTTAAAGCATTAAAATCACACATGGGATTGAAATCATAAATAGCCACAATGCATTATTTTGGGTTAGCAAGGCAGAGGCCACATAAAATGACAGGGCTGCAAGTGGCCCCCGGGCCTGAGTTTGGACAAGTCTGCTGTAAATGGTGTCACTACCCGTTACCCTCTGAGATGCCTAAAACGACTGCTAACGACGTCCCAGTCAAATGAACCCTTTTTCCCTTTTGCTTACCATTTTGCACACATTACATTTGCTGCCATCTAACCCTGCCATGTCGTACAATACCTCGCTTCTACAAACACAATATAAATCCCACAAAGGCTGTTTTCGCTGTTTTTCCCAGAACCAAACCAGGCTAAAACATCCACGATAACCATCACCTCATTCTTGTACCAGTGAGGAAACGTGGGCCTGAATCACACAAAAGAACATTGGCAGCGTGAAAGAGAGCACCAATTATGAGTCAGTGAGGTGGCACAGAAGACAAGGCAGCGTTTTTATGTAACGGCCGTGGGCTGGAGCCTCCAACGGCAAAGTGGAGAGCAGGCACCGGCGATGGAGCACCTAAAAGTGTCTGCAGCATGAGTGGGAGGGGCTGTTACTAACCATCAGCACGGACAAAACCCAAAGAGTCATTTTCTACACACGCGATTGTTCAAAGGTTTACGGCCACCCAGAGAATTCTCTAAGATTAATTTATAATCTCTCTTTTATGTGCAAAGGTGATTACACAAGGCTTACCAAATCATCAACTCATATTTGTATTATTATTTTACAGCATGTACGATAAAGGCAGTCAATGGGCGCTTTGTGGACCAGAAATTGTGACGTCTAGGCTGTAATGGCAGAAAAAAACAATCATTCTGAAAAACTGGCGTACGAGTTTTAGTATTTACTTTGATATTTAAGGTTCAGGTTTACTTTTTGTTTGTTTTCTATTTTACAGTTAAGATTTGAACTCATCTGCCATGTCTACAATAGAGATTTACCACATTTAGACTTTGTATCATCTGATTATTTTTAATTCACAATGTTTTTCTTTAACAATAACAACACATCTAAGTGACCCCAAACTTGAATGAAAGTATGTATTTTATGATGAGTTTTTTTGTGAGAAATCTGAAGGAAAACTAAACAAATTTTTTGACAGTTTGCTTTAGAATTAATTGATTTGGAGTTTTAGATTCTCTCTATGTATGAAACTAAACCATATTAATGCATAATGTGCTCCAGTTTTGCAATCAGCTTTTCATATAATTAAATGGCCCTGTTATGTCAAAAAGCATTGATAAACCATGCTCTTTTCGAATACTTCTTTCACTGATAAAAGTAGTTAAGCCGGGATATTAGAATTTCAATGGTTTTACAGCCCCTCAATCTTGTTATTGTTTTAATTTCGATGTCCCGCCCTCCACCGTTTCACCAATCAGAAAGTCTGTGAACCCGGTTGCCAGAACTCACAACATCTAGCTAATCTCACTGGTAAAGAATCATGAGGCCGCAGAACTAAAACCAAAAAGAAGTGATTATGATTCTCAAATCATTAATGGCAAATCAAGGAATAAAACAAGGATTTCTATCGGGGGCCTTTGTGAAAAAGGTGTTGGTTATAGATTTATTGTTGACAAAACTCTTGTCTATTCAGCTATTATGGTCCCAGCTGGTTTTGTCTGCATATCTGGCAACCTGAGTCAGGGAGAGTGGGAGAGGACTAGGATATTGACTGTGATTGCAGTACCACTTTAGGACAGACTTTTACATTATGTTTCTTTTAAATTTGTCTTTCCATTGTCTTCCACAGTCCTACCAAACTCCAGTGATTAATTCCCTTTCTTTACCTCATTAAAATGGTCGGACAGTGGGGAACATTTTGCAATTCAGAAGTACTTTGTGTAATTCCAATCAACCGCACAGATCTGAAATTCTAGCTGTAGGATCATTTCTCTCTTATTTTATTCCATCTAATTCCATTAAACGTGCACGATCATGACAATATCAAAGCCACCGGATTGCAAAACCACTCCTTATCATTTCATGTCCTTTTCCTGCAGAAAGTTGTTCCCGGAGGCGCGTCGCGTGGAGCTGACGCAGGAGGTGATCCAGAGAGCCGACCTGGATCCCACTCTGCGCTCCACAGAACTCACGATCCCCCAGTTCAGAGCCCTGTGCGACGCCTACGCAGACCTCTGCTCCCAGAACGACGCTCTGATCCACTTCGAATACAGAGAGGAGCTCCGGGTGAAGAATCAGGAGAAACGGAACATGAAAAATCAGTCTGCGTAGCAGCGTTTGACAGTACTCTTCTTCTGTTGTTTTATTGAAGAATGAAATGTGGGAGAAGGATTCTGAGGATTTTCTTTGTGTTTCAAGGAAGAAGTGGTGGCCTTTAAAGCTGCTACTTTCAAGATTCAAGAATTGATTTGCCATTTGCAGTAAAACCCCATTGGAAAAATTGTGCAAGACTGCTCCAGTGTGCACTTTCTTGCCACTTAACTTTCAAGCATAATGTTTAACTATTTTCTGATCAATTCAATGCAACTTGTCGCTCTCAATGGTTTGAGTCAAAATATCGCGATGACTAGAGTAAAATAATTCAAAATAAAACTGAGGCAGGTTTTGGATTCACAAATAAAGTAATCAATCTGACGAGCCGTAATTCATTTAATAAAGACAGTTTGGTTCTATCGCTCATTCTTACATGCATATGTGTTTAGCCTCTTATGCCTTTACAACACTTTTGTGAGCAAAAGTAACTTTGGTCAAATTGAAACCTCTTTATTCTTTTAAAAGTTTCCTCAAACATTTGGTAGATCACCTTTTGAGTCACTAGATCTATTTGGAGCTTGAACTGAAATCTACCTCACTTGGTTTAGGCACTTTTACCATCGACTGCATCTTAAACAGATGGTCTACAATAAGGTTATTAACAAAAAACAAGGGGTTCAAAGTAAACAAAGACAAATGATGTGTGTTATTTGTGCTCCTACATCTTTGCAGTGTCCTTTTTTATTTTGTGGATTTTCTTTCTTCAAGGAGTGAACATTAAAGCTGCATTACCTCACTTTATTTTTGTATTCATTACAAAAATTCAATCCATATCCATGCAGTGCATTGGGATATACGTCCTTTTGAAGAAAAAGTTGCGCAGATTTGTGCTGGCGTGATATTATATTTTAGATCGAGTTTTTGTGAAACAAGGAAGAGAATGTGTTTCACAGCGGATCACAAGCCCCCACTTTCTTGAGAAAAGCTACAGGTCTCTCGTTAGCACAGACAGCTGAGGTAAACAAGCGGCGGAGGCTAAGCTGAAACTTCCTGTGTCTTCGTTACCAGTTTCTGCTTACTCAGCGAAACAGCCAAAGTCTCGTTCCTCCGCGCTTCCCGGTTCTATCATTCTATGGTCACGCCATCCACGTGCAAATGTCCATATTGTGAGTCGTGAGCGCCGTATATATACAAATAGCATGTGAGCGCAGGCTGAGGGGGAGGGGGGTAGTGGGGGGTGAAAGCTCTGTGCGGGGAGGGCGAGCAGAGAGCGAGCTGGGTGCTCTCATTCGAAAATGTCTCTAAGTCAGTTAGTGCTGCTTTCAAGAGTACAATTCAAATAGATGGAACATAAAGACTGAACCATAAAGTGGTCCAAAGAAAGAGGAAAGACTGCTCTGATGAAGACTATGGGCCAAAAGCCATCCAATAAATATAATTTTGGACATCTATTTTGTTCTGTGCAATGCTTTGTTTTCTCTCAAAACAATATGGCTCTATCACTAGTTTTCACCGCACGTGTTTTTAGCATCTGTCACGTCTTTAGATACAAAAAGACAGGACCATCCTCGCTCACCCAACCAGCTCTCAACCCAAAGCATCAAACATAGACTCACTTTGCTCTTGCTTACAACAACGCAAAAGACAAACACCTCTGATTTGTTCACAACACACATTGGGAACAGTGGGGGCGGGTCCTGGCTCCAAAAACTCATGCTTGCAATACCACCTAGGGCCGATGGGGGTGGACCCGGAATAAGAATTAGCCAATGCTAACGTATAGCATCATCTTACCTCTCAAAAACAGCTTTACAGGATGTTCCAAAAGTCGGCTCTTGGCCCAAAGCCACATGTGTGGCAATGCTTTTTGGACCAGTCTAGTTTAGCTGCTGTGCAACTTCGAAGGCACTCGTTAAATGAATGGGGCTTGTGCCGGCTGACGCATCTGCAGAAGCGTTTTTTCACGTTTTCCAGCCCCCACGACCATTTTGAAACTGCCCATAGACGGCAAAAGTGATGGCATATTAGTTTCAACGACGGAGATAGGCATGACTATGTCCGTTAATATTTGCAGTGGTGATGACATGCTTGCGATCCCACGCCTAGCTGGTGGGGGTGTACCCGGAAAGAGAATTTCCCAAAGCTTTTGTACGGCGTCTTCTTTCCTCTCGAATGGCTTTGCAGGATAGTCCAAAAGTTGGCTCTTGGTCAATGCTTTTTTGGACCACTCTAGTTTAGCCGCTGTGAAGGGGCATTTTGAAAAAGCACACTGAAGGCAAAAGTGGTGGCACATTAATTTGAATATTTACAGTCAAAGTTATTTATGAGGGAAGAAAGGTTTGGTACCCCAGCTTTAAACATGTGATGCCTGTGTGGGTCCTTGCTCTGTACTCTCGACCAAACGCCAAAGAAGTATTCCACTAAGAGCCTTTGTTGGTGCAGAAAGACACCAGACTGCTTTTAAGCCCTGACATTCTCCACCTGGCAGATGCATGCATTTTTAAAGCCTTTTCCTTGCACCATCAGTGAAAAGGTATAAACAAAAAATAAATATATAAAAAAAACAGCAGATAAATAAAGCAAAACCTGACTGCAGTCTGCTCTGGGGCTAAAAGCAGAGAGAGAAACGAGGAGAGCAGGTGAGTGAGCCACCCACAGAACGTGCTAAAATGAACATTAGTGTGCAATAACTCGGCCGCCTCCTCTTCTTCTCTGTCCTATTTCTTACATCTACTCCAACTCTCATAACGCCAGGCCTTTTGGGAGCTTGAGGAAATGTGAGATTGAGGGTAATTTAGAAACGGAAACAAGGTGGCACACACTGGTGAAACTATTTGCTGTACTGGGTTGAACGCTTTATGTGGGATTTTTATCTTAAAGCTGGAGAAGAAAGAATTCTGCTCCATCTCAAATAATTGTCCCAACACATTCTAATAAAAGTAAAATGTCGTAACATGTTTTGTATGGAGCCCTCGGAGTCACTATTTAACATTTTGGGTTAAGAGCTGATTGGCTGAGTGAGGATGCTTCTCTAATGTTCAGTTTGTCTGAAAAAGTCATGTATGTGAGGAACTGGTTGGTTTCACACAAGGAGCAAATCATCACGTAAAACAAACACCAGAATCACCATTTAAAGCAATAAAAAAATCACAAAGATAATGATAAAAAAAAAAAGTCACACAATAAATTAAAAACATTAAAATCACACAAGGCATTAAAATAATACATTTTGTGTGGCCTTGTTTTAGTGCGTTGCTACATTTTGTGTGTTGTGAAAGTCAGGTCACATTCTGTTATTTTAATAATATATAGAAGTTATCTATTGTTTATATTATTATATAGATTTACTTTCATTTTGTTAATTATTTTATTTGCTCTGGTCTTTATTTTTGCTGTTTTTATGTTTTATTTTTTTGGGACATGGGGAGTATAGTGGGGGAAAAAATGAAATGTGTTGTGTGTGTTATGCAGCACGTATATTTAGAGGGAAAATATGTGAGCTATAGAAGATGACACAAAGTAATAAAGTCATAAAGAACGTTGGGTCACCCGGACACAAGAACACTTATATCAGGCTGCTGCATGGTTCCCACTGCTGCCTTAAGTCAAAATGAAGAAAGAAGGAACCAGCGAGCAAATATCCAGGCCATTTCTCTTCTCTCAATCTGCTTTTGGATTGCTCATTCACTCGGAGCTTAAAGGAAAGGGTGACGCGCAAGGAATTTATACAGCTTAAAAAAAAGATTTCGCTTTTAATACCTTTTTTATTAAAATCCTGTATTTAGTCATCGGTATGTGCTCTAAAAATAAAAGAAATGCACGCACATTAACATTGCATCACTTTTTAACACTTTCCCGCTGACCTTTTCCAGCCGCCTTCTGAAATTGTTACAGAACCTGCTTTCTCTGGGGGCCCCTAATCCTATAGAAGCGTAAAACTGTGCGGCATTGTATGATTAAAAAGCGTTTTCCGTGTCAAACATTTCTCTTTAAATAACAACACAGATTACCAATTGAGCATTCGGGGCCGGAGCATGCCAAACTGGCAGATGGCGTGGAAGGCTGGGCGAGCCAGGGGGAGCGCTCACTCAACTTCTCATGATTGCTGGCCGCTAAATCTTTATCCATGATCAGATTTTCAAAGCAGACAGGCACAGTTTGAACACTTGGCATCACAGCTCCATATGGGGGCCCGGCCATGAGGAGTGGGGGCAGCGGGTTGGGGGTATAAGAGGTAATAGTAGCCAGGAGTGTGATAACATTAGAACTTCATTATCGGACACCATCAAAGGAATGAGTGTGTGGTGTGATGGACTGGTGCGGGTAATTGACTGGTGTTACTGGATATAATGGACATAATGAGTGATGAGATCTTCTGCAGCCGTGTGTGGAGTCTGCTGGGAGAGAAGCAGGATCTCATGCGTACAATCGATATGGAAAGAGTCAGACGGTTTAAAATCCTTTGGTAAGCACAACAAAGCACAAAGCATTAACACTTTGACTCTCAGAATTCTCAAACCAGTAGAAGTCCCAGAGCCGCCATTTGGACTGCTCCCATTCAGATAAATAGAAAGAAGAGAAAAAAACCACCAAATAATGTTTAGTTTTTCATTACGTCATAAATACGTTTTTTTTTACCTACCCAAGAGCTAAAACTGGTCATTATCACTAAAATACATCCCCACCACTGTCAGACTGTACAATAAGCCAGTTAATTTTAATTAAATTGTACAGAATATATCTTGCACAAAAGAGGCCAAATTTGCACACTTCAGTCTTTTGCACGCTCTTGGATGATTCTATCTTTGCCAGATGTGACAAATGTCAATTTCTCCATTGTGAGATCAACAAAGTCCATCTTATCTTAATCCGATAGTAAACAGTGTGTTGCTATGGTGACTAGCACTTGAAGATAATGATGTAGAATGAACCATGTAAAGAAACAGAAAAAGTCAAAGTTATGACGACCAAGAATGCACATGAGATGAGTGTGTTTATATAAAGCTGGGGTACCTACATTTTTAAACAACAACCAAAATGGGGGGAATAATAATTACTTTCACAACATGTATTTTTTTGGGCTCTGTCACATCTTTAGATCAGCTTTTTCAGACAGAAAAGTGAACATGGAGGACCGCCTAATCTCAAATGACCAAATAGTGACTCTCAGGGCTCTGTCAATGATGCAATAGGTAACATATTCTCACAATAAGAATAAGACCCCAAGCTGTGGTCCGACTGCATTATTTATGAGAGAAAAGTTAGGTTCCCCAGCTTTAACACATTAATACAATACTATTAATAACTGAGAGCATTATAAAGAATAGAATGTGCATAAACAGACCCACACTTAGCCTACAGATACTTCTCAGCGTGAGGCACTTTTCACACGAGCCGAGACCGTACAGAGGATGTGTGAATCCCGAAGGCGAAGGCAAAGCTTTGGAGCAGTATTGTCCCACTTCTGTCCTGCGCCTTGTATCCGAGTATGGACGTGTGTGCATTTTTGAACACATAATCAGAGCCCGGGGCCAGTGGCAGCTCTCACCCCTCACCCAGGACCCAGCAGCAGGGCTAAAGATACAGGTGCAACTCCGACACTCGAGCTACTGACATGCACAGATGTAAACATACAACCATTTCATTCTTGTGCTAGAATAGACAGGATTTTATATTTTTCTTCTTTATTATGCCAAAGATGAAGGATTTATACTTATTCTTATGCTAAAGTCAGACCTTTTATTCCTAATTCTTGCTTCTTCATTCAAAAGCTGGAGATTTTAGGATAAGATAAGTGATCCTGTATATGTCTCACAGTGGGGAAATGTCACTGTTGCAGCGCACAGACAGGGCAGTAGTAAGAGCACACAACACAGGTAGCTGCTGTTTCTTAGCTGTAAAGGCTTCAATAATTATCTTTCAAAATACTTCTTGCAGTACTGCACATTTCACATGATTACAGTATTTACTTATTTTATACTTAATTCTAGCTTCTTCATAATGATAAAGTTGGAGATTTTAGATTTGCTTCCTTATTATGCTAAAACTAGAGATATTGTAATTGTTTAGGGCTTATTTATGATGCTATAGTTTTTATTTTATTTCATTTCATTTTAGTAGTTATTGTTTATTTATCTTTCTTTATGCAACACAGATATTTCCCAAACTGTGAGACAAATAAACGATCACTTAATCTAAACGTTACTCATTTCATACAAAGTGAGATACATCAAGCCTTTAATAGTGTTGATAATTATGGCTCTTTGTGAAAACATCCCAGATCCATAGAGTATTTAGAGAATGGACTGAAAGCTCAATAAAGAAGGTTAAAAAAACAAAGGCTTATGTGACTTTGCATGTGATTAAATTCTACACCTGTCGACCAAAGACCAAGACATGAGACAGTATTACCAGAAACATTTTAATTAATAAAATAGCTCGATAGGAAAGAGACATTCACATTCCTTGGTTTGCTAGCATCAAAGGCATAGAAAAGGTCTATTTTAGAAACATATTTCGCAGTACCTTGCTCTTAAGGCAAACAGGGATTGAGAACATGATCTGCTGAAGTTCTATTGCAAATTATTGCTTTTACAAATTTCCTTACAGTGTAAAGTGTACAGAAAAGTGTTTTGAAAGTACAAAATATATACAGGACAATCCAGGAGGCAGCACAAATCATCAGAGAGGATTTGTGCACAAACGAATCTACAGCAAAATGTGAAGAGATACGATTTTTGCAACAGTTCAAGCCGTCATCTATGGCGTTACTAATGCATAGGAACTATAAATAAATTAAAAATACATTACAGCTGTACAGATACATTTCAGTTGTATAGGCAAACAGTGTTTTAGTGCACAATACAGCAAAAGGCCTGGATCTCACAGTCCCAACGTTCTATTCAAAGTGTGGGCTCTTTGGGTGGGTCTGTTTGTTGCAGCATGGATGATCCACTAAAATACACATTGTTCCAAACCTGAGTGGTGGATATTACTATTTCACAACAGTTTAAGTGAAGCTTTGAAATCCAATTTGGCCGACCTGACAGGGAGGAAGAACTGATTTAGGATTCAAAGAAAAGACTCAGCAGCAGATGTGTGGCTGTTCTTTACATTTCTCTTGTGGTCGAGTCGCAGTTTGAAGTCTTCGGTCTTCAGTTTGACGTTCTCTGCTCTACGACGACGTAACGCTTGGGCATTCTGTCGCAGTGTTCTGCTCGTAAAAACAGTCTTCGTTGACGACTGAAGTGAGACTCAGGACGCTGAACTCTCTCTCCAATAACAAATTCAGATCCGCTGCTGGCGCTGTGTCCAGTGAGTGGCTGTGCTCCTTCATATTTAACAAAGCCCCCCGGTTCCGCCGCAGACTACTGCTTTTTCCACCGTGTCCCTGTCTGAGCTTGGGCCGGGTCTCCGGGGTGACGCCGCTCCCCTCGGGCAGCACGCGAGGGGCCGGCGTGCTCTGTGCGGCGGCCTCTTCGGAGAGCGCGAGCTGGATGAACTGAGCCTCGATGGCGCTGGTGGGGGAAGCGCTCTCTCCGCTGTCTCTCCGGGTCTCGCTGAAGCCGTCGTCGTCCTCGTCGCTCAGAATGTCCGACTCTTTCACTGATGTGGAGGCGGGCGGTTGTGTGGCGGCAGCAGGGGCAGCCGGCCAGTTCTGCCCCGGTGGAGGCGGCGTGGTGTCCGGACAGGTGGACAGAGGAGTGGTGGCGCTGGACGAGAGGCTGTAGGTGCCACTGCTCTGACTGCCCTCGTCCGAATCGGCCTTCGTGTTTCCGGGGAAATCGCCCACTGGCTTCTTACAGCGCCACGAGGCCCGGGAGGATCCTGCCAGAGGAGGAAGGGAAGAAGCAGGTCAGATAGGCCAGTCTTATCTCGGCAAAACACGGGCTGCAGATGCCCTTCAAGCTTTTTATACACTGAAAAAACACCAGATAGCATCACCCTACTCGCCATCGCAAGCCTGATTTTCTGAGATAACATTACAGAACAAGATCAAGCAAAACAAACCACCGCTTGGATATTGCTGAACTTTCAACAGTAACCGTTTCAACTCCCGTTCAGAAGTTTGAGGACTGGAGTTAAGCTATGGTGAGCTTTAGTCTATGCCCTCCGGGAGGAGTTTGCACCGTCTAATATAGTCCTTTTAACGGCAGACATACAGTACAAAAGTACAAAGTGAAATGTGTGAAAAGAATGGAAAGAGTTAAGACTTATGTCTGTGTCCTGAGATATTATCATGTGTAAAAATGTAACTCTTGTGCTAACCTAGGGTCAAAACGGCCCGCCAGAGTGATTAAAAGTAGATGGAAAAATACCCTGAATTAAAAGGTCTGAAAGAGTCTCAATGAGTTAGTAATAATAAAACGGTTATGAAAAATCATCAAAATTCAGCTAAAAAGAATGTCAGCACAAGCATTACTTCAGACTGTGCTTCTCTTCCTTTCACTTCCTCACCCGTTTCCCAGGGGTTGCCAGGTCTGCTATTTTTTCACTTTATTTTTTTTTACCGTAGATGTTGAGAGAAAAACTAAATGGGAAGACTTCATCAGGTCTCTCTGGTGAAAACATGGTCCAGTTTCCTAACATTGAAAGTTTCTCTGAGATGAGGCTCACACGGCTTTCCCTCGTCTCGCTTCTCAAATCTTACACATGACACGGTTATGGAGAGGTATCTCTATGACCGGTAAAGCACTGAGCTTACCGAGGCGGGCGGAGGAGGGCAGGGTGCGGCGCAGTGGGGCCAGCCGCTCCCTACAGTTTCTCTCCAGCGTGCCCTCGCCCCTCTGGTTCCTGCGCAGGTTCTCCCTCAGGATGGAGCGGATGACTTTGATGATGTTGACCTTGCTCTCAGGCACACTGCGCACAGGAGGAGAGTGTGACCTCACAGGATCCATTTTATGGATTGTAAAAAAACATATCAAGGCCTTGGAATCTAAGGGATAAGTGACAGTTCTATTAGATTTACTGGGAAAAGATCGAACATGGGGAACCGATAAACTGACGGGCTTTTGTCGCTCACTAGAGACGGCACCAAAGACAAATCATTATGCAATCATTATACTGATCGCTTTCAAAGGCTTTAACTCATTATTTTCATTGTATTATTATTGTATTATAAAGGGATGTATGAAGTGTGACTTCTGTTGACATTTCTCTAAACTAAAAAGGTTCAGTATTACTTTATTAAATCCATTTCTTTTTGACGCTGCTGCACTTTTTGTACCTTCTTTGTTTGTTGTATTGTCTAATAGATGTCTCTTTTTTACCATTGAGTTAATTATATTTATACAAACAGGTATTTCTGTATGCAGATTGTTGCTTTTGTTTATGTTTATGTCCTGTTATATTCTCTGAAAACCCAAACTACGGCACAAGGTTTTTCACAGATTCAATAGAATTGACCATCTTTTGCCCCAGTACACACAAAACAACACATACAAGCACACACAGTGGTTCCTGACCTGCTGCAGAGCTGGAAGACCGTCTCAGGCCTCCCCTCCACCTCAGACCTGCAGTGGACCAGCTCCCAGATGCAGCTGCTGTCCGCACCGGTCCCTGCGAGAAGTGCAAATAAAATACATGCCTTTAATCACTCGTCCAAAATATGAATCATAAAATGTCTCCGGGCGACTAAGAGAGAGAGCTGCTGCTCGAAATGACAAAAGGGTTGAAGTGTGTGTGTGGGTGTGTGTGTCCGTGAGCGTGTGTGTGTCCGTGAGTGTCCGTGTGTGTATGTGTGTGTGAGTGTGTGTGCGTGGAGGGCCCGTGGCTGTGCTTGGGGACATGGAAAGGGTAAAGAGAAGATTTAGTGGCGGTTTTCTGTGAGTGATTTAATGGGGATAATCGTGCTCCTCTTACCTGCAGTATTTCCCAGTCTGACCTGCAGCGCTGACAGAGGGATGAGCCAACGGAATTTAAACACGTCTGAATCGCCGTGGTGATGTGCCGATCGCGAGTTTGCCTGTTCAGCGGGAAAACACTTTGTGAGGCTCCATTTTCACAGTTTAAACAAAACGATAAACTGTTTTATCCGTCTTTATGGTGACTTACCATTTTCTTCTTGAGTTTGTTGCTCTCCCGGTAGACCAATATGACTGCTTTCTTGAATACTAGCGAAGAGAAGACGTTGCCGTTTTAGATTTGAGTGAAGGGCTCATGGAGGGAAAGCAAAGACAGATGCTTCTGATTTTCCAGTGTGAATGCGCGAATCGTAACTCTGTCTTACAGCTGGAGACGTGCTACTCGCAATCATTTTCCGGTAAAATGGTTGAATTGTATGTGGATAGAAAGTTATTTGTTATTCTTATGAACAGCCCACTACACTTTTCTCTCTCTCTCTAAATAGTCTCTTAAATTCGGTAAACATTTAAAGTGCATCTGTCTGAAGACCCCCTTTGGAGCACAAACCAATGGCTGTGTAGTTATGGCCTCTGATGATGACTCATTTACTCGAATTATATGGAAACAATCGCTGCACAGAGAAAAATTGGCCATTATTTTCCATTATGAATTTAGAAGGACGTTATGGCTGATGTCTGGGCATTGGTGCTGTTTGACTGTAGATAAAGCCAATTTGGCGTTTTAACAATTCCCCTTCCACAGCTCACCAAAAATGAGATGTAGAGTCTTTTGATGAAGCAAAAAAACGGGAACACATATGAAATTCCTATTCACATTTTTGAACTGTACTTTATTTGTGAATTTGGGGTTCAAACTAAACTCTGGTCAATTATCATTTTCCTACATGTACATCTGGGTCTGATCCTAGTAGCTGCGGTTAAATCTGCTGAATCCCCTTCGACCAATCAGAGAGCAGGGGAGGCAGGTGCTGTAGGTAGGTGTCGCTGACGTCAAGAGTTTGCGCTGAATTTGCAGTAAATTAATCCGTTCTAGTTCGGCTCCAAATATCAAGAAATTGCAGCCGGAGCAAGAGTTTAGCAAATCTAAATAAATCTGTATTTTACTAGTTTGATGATCATACGTCATCAATCGGCAGACAAAAGTGCAAATGAGGAGAACGTGGCACATTGGTGTAGCATCAACTCACCAAACACTGTCATCTCCGGATCTTTTCTCATGCGGCCGAGCGACGGGCGAGGGTTGAGCCAAACTGCAGATGAGTGCACGAGGAACTCACCCATGGAGATCTCTGTGACCTGTGTGTCAGAGGGACGGGGTAAGAGCAGGCCTCTGAAGGAGACCGTGTGAGGGTATGGGCTCTCATCCCACATGCATCTCAGGCCTTTTAATGCACAATGTCTCACGCTTTTTTATAACGCACCACACAATCACAGATAATACTATTGAGGAATGCTGTCGGAAGAGAGCCAATAATAATGCTAATGTTAAAGGAATAGTTCACCGTTTTTACATACTGACATATGTTCTTACCTTACCTTAGACTAGTTAATACGTACCTGTCTGGTCTTAGTCCGTGCGCTCTGTCATGCAAACGGAGCAAAAACGGGAGCACAAACGCAGCCTCCTCTGTATACTGTGTAGGACCAAAAGGTAGCTCCCGCTAGAAGCTACCAAACTCTTCCAAGTGTTCCCTATTAAATGTATATAGTTACGTGACGTGTTACACTGCAAAGTATAGTAACACAGAAATGTAACAGTCGATTTTCTCAGCGGATAAAACGGGTACTATATTGTGAGGCGTAGTAATCTGAGGAGCGCTACGTCCGCGCACTAACTTCTCTCCGTACTACAAGTCACGCTGCTTCTATTGACGGAAGTGAGCGAGAGAGAAGTCTCCGGAGAGAAGTTAGTGCGCGGACGTAGCGCTCCTCAGATTACTACGCCTCACAATATAGTACCCGTTTTATCCGCTGAGAAAATCGACTGTTACATTTCTGTGTTACTATACTTTGCAGTGTAACACGTCACGTAACTATATACATTTAATAGGGAACACTTGGAAGAGTTTGGTAGCTTCTAGCGGGAGCTACCTTTTGGTCCTACACAGTATACAGAGGAGGCTGCGTTTGTGCTCCCGTTTTTGCTCCGTTTGCATGACAGAGCGCACGGACTAAGACCAGACAGGTACGTATTAACTAGTCTAAGGTAAGGTAAGAACATATGTCAGTATGTAAAAACGGTGAACTATTCCTTTAACCTCTTAACAACCGCCTCATTTTGGCTCGTGCACAATGGTTGGGCATACCCAAATGTCTTTGCTTATTTAAAAACACATCTTACATCTCACATGCTTGTGTGATGCATCATTTTAAAGCTAGAGCCTTCTAGTTTATGTAAAAAAACACTAAAATAATGTTTGTCATTCCTATTTTCTTCTGCATCCTTTGAAGTTAGGGAAAAAAACCCAATTTTTTTAGCCTCGCCTAACATTTTCAATTTCTAAAGGCCCTAAAAAAGGCATACTTCATTGTAAGTTCACAATATTCAAACCCTCTGTTCATTGTGTTGTTGACAACAACTGTCTAAAGTTTCAGACTTGTAAGTTTTATAGTTTTTATGCAGTTTCTCCTTTTCATCAAGTAGTGCACATTTGGCACAATTTGGCACAAGTGTGCCAAATTGTGCCAAATATCTTTACTTACATTTAATCATCATAAAAACAATATTTTTCATTATTGGTACTTATAAGTTACTAATCTATGTGTGTTTTTCTTTTTTAAATGTCAAAGTTATTTTTTTATGAGTGTAAATTCATTGCAGCTTCGAAAGCGTCTTTTGGCTTCCATTACGCACAATTGTCCAGGCACAACATAAGACAGGACACCATTGTCCCACCCCTTGTTCGAAAGCTTTCCTCATTGGCTACAAGGACATGTCAATCGTAAATCCCGGAAGTAAAAGCAAACAAGTTGGGAGCACAACAAAGATCAGTCCTCCATGCGCAAACAGCAGCACGAGCGGTACTTGCGGGAGCTATTGCAGACCCAAAAATTGGTCTAGCTTTTCGGGAGTAGTCTCATTTTAAATATAAGGAGCTAAGGAACACGTAGATACCAGATGTTTGGGTGAAAAACAAAGCTAAAAGTCCGTTAAAAGTGAAAGAGTAACATCTGTGCTCTTTTGTTTCGTTTTTTTCGCTAAAGATAAATGCACATTTTTGGATTATTTCTGCAGAATGGATTTTACTTTGGGAAATACAAGTGGATATAATTTTCCTTTGGACTGTTCCAGAGAGAATGATGTATTGCAAGCTGGGAGGAGAGCTGATTTATTTGTACAGCACAAGCCCAAAGGTAAAAAACTATTTCGGAATTAATTTATTTTGTGCCCACATTATGTGTTATATCTTTTGAATGCAAAGTCTGATGTAGTTTACACTTGTATATAAATGTAGATAAGAAAATAAGCTTTAAAATGATATACAGCTTTTGGGGTTTGGTGTTCAAAATACATCTGCTATTGCCAGCAGAACATTTAAAAACATAAAAAACGGCCGCCGGCGCGCCGGTTGTTGCAAAGTGGTTAAGGACGCTGGTATTGTTGTTATCTTCATCATCATCATCATCATCGTCGTCACTATTACTGTTATTTTCTTCTTTTTGTTGTTGTCATGGTTCTCTTGCCTCTCTCCTCTCGCCCCAATTTCCATCAATACGCTTGGATAACTGATCAATGCACACACACAAAATAAAAATAAAAATAAAAAAGTAAATAATAAAAAAGTAAATAAACACACACACACACACACGCGGAAGCCCCCCCCTTTCCCCATGTATGTATGCTCATGTAAAAAAGAAGGAGAGCGTGTGAGAGACAGACCTCTGCGCCAGGTGAAAAATACTTCTAAAATGATGTGTGTGACTGCTTTGAGCTCTCGACGTCAACTTTAGGCGACATTATTTAGCATTCACTTTGAATATTCCGGAGCGCAAGCAAATAAATATTTCATCCATTTGTAAATTATTTCATTCCCAAGAGGCAATGCAAAGACGGGCGCGTAAACAGATTTGAGCTGCGTTCAATTACGCACAGTATCGTTTGATGTTGAAAGATTTAAAACTTTTCACAGTTTGACTCGCTGAAAAGAACATCACATATTTACTAGTGCTGTCCAACGATTAAAATATTTAATCGCGATTAATCGCATGAATTTCATAGTTAACTCGCGATTAATCGCAAATTAGTCACACATTTGCGTGCTGTGTGCAATTGCTTTTTTTATTGAAAACAATGTGTAGTGTTATATTACACACTAACATTTGATGCAAAATCATCAATAAATGGATGACAAAATAAATAATTGGTAACAAAAAGCCCCTTCAATGTGTGTGTGTGGGTGTGTGTGTGTATGTGTGGGTATAGACCATAGACTGTATAGAAACATCATGGTGTCATTATGATGATGATAAACAATCTGTAAATATTTTGTAAATTTGTTCATGTAAATACTCTATGCTGTTTCTCTGTTTACCTTCGGTATATCTATGACTGTATACTGTTTGCTTGTATTGCCTTTTTTATTAACCCCTCCCCCCATCTCCCACTTCATATTTGTGCGCCATTATGATTTCTGTCGATTTGTCTTGCATTTATGTAAATTATAGAAATAGTATAAAAGTGCTACGAAATGATCCAAAATAAAAGTCATTCTATCTGGTTTCAGGTTAAGCTAAAAAGTAACTACAAAATAAATTTCCTTTATCTAGTTTAGTGTCACTAGTTTTAGATTTTTGCTGTCACATCTTTAGATCAGGTTTTTCAGGCAGAAAAGTGAAAAATAGAGGAAGTGAAAAAAATGGAGGTGTCCAACAGAAGTTTTTACCTCAAAAGCTGACAAGTGTGACGGACGACATTAACATTTTTAGTCATTGAGCTCATTTGGTAAAACTACATGTCTTGTTTTCATGTTTCCATTATCTATCTACAGATGAAACTTGTGAATTAGAATATTGTTACAAAGTTCATTTTATTCTGTAATTCCACTTATATATCAGCTTAACTTATATTATATAGATCATTACATACAAAGTAACATACGAGTTTGTTTGTTATAATGTCGATAATCCTGGAATCCCGTCCATCATTTTTGTTCTATTTGGGGGTTTTAATATGAGCCAATTATTAACATTATAAACAAATAAAGGCTTGGTATATCTCACTGTGCGTCTACCGAGTCTATTCGTTTAAGCAAATAGGTTTCTGACCAATATTAAAACATTGAGTTTCACCTGTTTATTTTTATATTTACGGTAGATAAAGAATATAGCAGAAAAATAATAATGATAAAAAATGTACAGGAAAGTAAAAAAACAAAAACAAAAAACAGCCGATGCATGTAATTGAATCCATGTCCCACATTGAGCTGTGATTTTAGCCCGAGTGCTTCTGGTTCCCAAAACAAATCCCACCTCTTTATCGTGTCCGCTCTGCTCTGCCACCAGTTGATCAAACACGGCTCCATAATCCTCGTAAATCTTCTGCATCTCGTTGATGTGACTGGCCACCTTCTCCATGGCTTTCAGGGCCTCTGCATGACAGACACGGAGAGACAGGGATTGGCTGGGGTTTATGTTGCCTTTATGTCATGTCTTATTGCTGCATATGGCGTGTACAGCAGTGTGTGTCCGCCAGTGTGTGTCCGCCAAGTGACAGGCGCAGATGGAGCTTGTATTTTTAACTGTTTCTCGAGAATAGTGCGAGGGATGCTAAGAGGGATCAAGAGTCAATTAAAAAAACTAGAGTCAAAACTAGGGCTGTTGTTATTGGTTATTTTAGTAATCGAGTATCATTTACGCGAGATTAATCAAATATCTATTCAAATGTGTTCCCACAAAACATCTCTGAATGCATAACAATATTTTTGGTTTTGAGTAAGAAAACACAACTCGTAATTCAATAAGAAAAAAATTGATTATCTGTTTGAAATAACATTTGAATACATTTCCCCCCCAAATCAGTACATTGCTTTCACGAGGTTTGAGTAATTATACAGATGAACCGATAAATCAAAGCAAGAAAATGGTAAGCTTTTCTTGTAACCCATTAATGCAAATAACTTAGATATGGATTTCAGTGCTTCAAAACAAATGACTTATTTAAAGAAGTATCAATGCAAAAATACAAAACAAAATTGGCCATTTCTTTGCAGATTTAGCAGGAGCAACTTTGGATCGGACGTATCTAAAGTTCAAATTAACTGTGTTTAGAAATACACCTTAGAGAAGAAATTAAAAAATATTATTTTTGTTTTTGAGTGTGATTTCATAGTGGTACCATGACATCTTGCTATTACAGGACTGAGACATGATCTTTCAGACAGAAGGGGCAGATTTACGTGTCTGTCCCAGAAGTGCCTACTACTGTAGTAGCGTGGTCTAAAAACCACTAGAGGGTGGTTTGTTGATGATGAAGTTAATATGATTAAAGGCTCAATCAAGTCAATTTTGCATGTCTCCTTTAAAATCTGGTTTGAGAAAATAAAGGGATGGATGAATACAAAATAGTCTGTAGTTTTGAGATTGTTTGGTCTGCACATAGTAAATGTCTCAGAGTAAATGTTTTGGTACCGGAGAGGTGGTAGTGCTCCTCGCTCTCTGAGTCTGTGAGTGACACCAGCTCGCGCAGCAGCAGGGGGTACTTGAGGACCCTCTGGACCGGCTTGATCAGGTACGACTCCAGGGTGGACGAGTGCTGCTTGGTGGGGTTACGGGCGTCCAGGAACTCCTTAAAGGCCCGGTCGGTCTTAGCTGCAGAAACAGATAGACTAAATTAATGCGGATTACTCACAAGCTTAACTTCTTACTGTAGATTTACAAGGGAAAAAAGAGGTTGGTTGATATGAGGAGTAAGCTTTGCATCAAATATGCACATAAAAAATTAAATATGTAAGTGTGTAATCTACATAAATACACACAGCACCTTAGAGTCACAACACAAGAATATATTTATATTGTTGTTGGCAGGAATTGATTTTTTTCTCACCTGACACTAAGGTCTAGGAACAGAAAGACCATTAGTTATTTACCACTACTTATTAACCACTATTAACAAAAAGATTAATTGGACAAAATAAATGGGAGAGGCTTTAATAACAATAAAACGATACGATTGTATTCCAACAATATGTACTTAGTAGTTGGTCGCCATGGCAGCAGATTTCTATCACGAATACTGTTACACCTTTGAATATTTTTCTCAGCTTTAGTTTAACCGCTTTAAATCCCTTGTCCATAAACTCGCACAGCCTGAAACACTGCCTACATGCTTCATCTCATTCCTCTGCAGTCATTTGCCGTGTTGATTGCGGCGGATAGCTCCATCTGATCCCTTAAAGGCGTTCTAATTATCTGGAGCTGTGATGACTGAAGGCCAGAGAATACGAGCGTCATCACATGATTTTTTCACATTCATCGACTCGATTAATGATCCATCAGAGCCAGAGTTACCGTCACGCCGGATGGCTGCGAGCTCTGCCCTGATCTTAAACGCACTGCAGAGTGGATGCAATTAGAGCGCAGTTATGAGACTCCAGAATGTCACACACAGGGGGCGATAGAGGCCACAGTGCACCATGACCACTGTAGAATCGGACCACTGGTTGGATATAAATGGACAATGCTAACCCACTAGCTCAATGACGCCCAATAGGAAACTGCTCATTTTTCTTACAATTCATTCTGGATCCTATCGACATGTGAAGTAAACTAACCATTTGTGTCACATTAAAAGGTCCATGGTTTAACGCTCTCTGTGATACTTTCGTTTCTATTTTGATATTGTTATTGTAAATACAAATATGAGCCGTAAGAAGTGACCATTCAGATGTATTTTGTCCATGATTACGGCTTTAGCTGGGAGTAGTCGGTGGGGACAGAATGGCATTTGAAGGCTTCGTCGTTACTAGCTACAAACTTGCATACATTTGGCTCCACATTTCCGCTCAAAAAGCCTGTTGGAGATAGCTCTAAGTGTCTACTGACCTCTCTGGTTTAAGTCTGGCTTAATTTCATATCTGGTTAGGATTAATCCAGTCTCAGTTTATACTGTTTCAAATCAAATATGGTGTTTGGTATATTAGGGTCGAACTCAAAGTGGTGATGCGTTGTTCAACTATGTGGCTCAGAGGACATTGTCATCCCAAAAAAATGTGTTCAGTTGGTCTATGTATTACAGAAAATGGATATTATAATTTATAATGAACCAATACACATCTCTGATCGAGAAGCTGTGGAGAAAATGCCTCCATTCTGGCCTGACGTCAAAAGTAAAAACATTGTCTGGTAATAATAAGGAGATGGCACTTTTCCCCCAGCAGTGAGCGATGTGTACCGAGGGGGCTATTAAAGTATTAATTATAGCACTCGCAGCTACAAACAGGCAGCTGCATCGACACCTCCCACAGTAATTGGCAGGCAATTAACAAGTCAACAAATAAACAGTGAAACTACGGCAACCCGGCGCCCCTCGGCATGGTGGGAAGCAGGAGGTGGTGAGGGAAGATGAGACACAAGACGGGCATAATTACTTAAGGCTCTGACAAGCACTGGTGGGTTCGGCTGCGTCCTTGGAAGTTAACACACGACTAGCCAATGGGTTATTAGACAGGAATATTTAACATACAAAGAAATACCCGTATGTCTCCGTGGATATCTGTGCTTGCACTCTGCATGCTCTGAAACTTTATAAGAGAGAAGACTACTCAAATCCATAACTACTACGAGCAAAGACACACCTGACAGACAAAACGGCAACAACAAAAATATGAATGACATACAGTAAATACAACAACATAAATGAGAGAGGGTTTTAGAAGGCCGTTTCTCATGTTTCTAGGGCTGAAACAACTAATCGATTAATCGATGACTAATCGATTATTGAAATAGTCGACAACTATTTTAGTAATCGATTAATCGTTTTCTGGTTCACACGGACTCAAACAGAGCAAAAATGACATGAAAATGTAGTATTTTTGATTAAAACCGACATTGTATTTATAATTTCATGAATATCTGTCCGTCTCATCCAATCAGATAGCAGAATTAGCACAAAGAGCCTGTTACAAACATTTACTTTAAGTTTACGCCATCAATACGTCCTCGAGTGTTGCCACTTTAGCTTTTTGTGATGAAAAAATATTTTTTTTCTACACAATTCACAGCCAAGCGATTACTCGATTAATCGTAAAAATAATCGATAGATTAATCGATTACAAAATAATCGTTAGTTGCAGCTCTACATGTTTCTAAGCAGAACTGAACCCATATCTCACCAACTTCAACCAAATCTCGGCATGAATATATTTATGCTTGGGTTCAACACTTTGCTGCATTTTCTTTGTTTACAATAGCTATGATATGAGTGCACGATTCATCCTTTAGTATGAGCGGCTCAGAAGGCAATTGAGCTTATTGACAGAGCTAAATGAACAGTTGACTGAGAGAATGACTTTCTTTCAATAACAAACATTTTAGAAAACTGCTGGAAAAGTTGAACAGAATAAAAACATGAGATTTCATAACTTTATTACTGCTAGTCTAAGGGAAAGGATCAGTTTCCCAAAATGCACATGTGTTTTGTCTTAACATGAAAAGCAATATTTTTTTAGAAAGCCTTTCCAGCAGGCCACATATTGAGAATCATATTTGCTGTGCTGTACTCTCCTCTAGGTCGCTCTCAGACACCAGAGACTTTTGACGTGTTTTCCTCCTGTCTAATCCTATTAAACGTCCATCCTTCTGCTTACTTCGAGGAATATCCTACGCAATTCTGGTAATGGGCTGATTTAAGCAGTGCATTGGGGGCAATATCACCCCTCCCTAATGTTTGCTGGCAGGCGAGCTCTTTCTTTTAGCGTTTGTGTCTGTGCTGGGCAGCTTTCCAAAATGCCCAGAAAGGCTTGCGTTGTGGCAGGCATAAATCATGTTTAAAGTTCCGGCTCTGTCACATGCTGAGAGAAACACAAGGACTTATTGGGGAAAGCAGGCGTCCATGCTCTGGTGTTTTGTGGCTAATGCACAAGGTTACGCAAAGGCTGCGTGTTTATGAAGGAATTAGCGCAGATTGATGTAGTGTCTAGTTGTCAGACAGACACTTATTTTGGCAGGAAGAGGTTTGTGAAAATCCCATGTTTATGTAAAGTGAGTTCTGTCATCACTTTTATCAGTTTTTTTGCAGCATTGATCCATGTCCTCCAAAACGTAAACGTTTTTATTCTGATGCAACGCTACAGACAGTGGTTGAAGTAGTTGGGGAAAACTGCAATAGCCAAAAATATTATTCATTGTAATTCATGGCATCAGTTTATACATAAACTGTACATCCAAAATATATATGTCAAGGGGAAAGCTAAAACAATTATCAATAAATATGTTTTAGATACACCGGTATATATACTTTTAACAAATATAATCTGATACAATATTGTTTCTTTCTATATTTTTGTTCATACTTTGACACAATATTCTGAGATGCACACAGTAAAACAGAAATAGGAGGCCGAGAAGATGTTTCAACAAATCAATCTTCAACAAATGGAATGAATCCTAATGTTGTATTACCTTAGGTTAGGGATTATTCTATTGTTCCATCCCACTGAATCATGTTGTGTTGTGTGTATTTGACATTCATATTGACTGTGCATTACATACCTCTCTCAAGAACCTTCTGGACCTTGATGTGATTGGCGCAGAACCCGCTGTAGAGTTTGAAGTGGTCAGCGTAGTAGAGGAAGGAGCCCCCCAGAGAGAAGAGCAGTTTCTGAAAATGGGCCGAGAGAGAGAAAAACTGAGAAATTACACAGAGGATGGAAGGTGCATGTTGACCCACAAAGCCATGGGGGAGTACAGATGAAAGCGTGAACAGGTGGAAGAAAAGCACTCCGGTGTCATTCTCTATGGAGGGACACTAACGGCCCATTGCCCACCCACAATCCCACTGAACAGGCCCCTTCCATCAGTACCTCTCCGATCATTCACTGAACCACAGCCTCAATCGATAACACTCCTCACTTCTTGTTACATCAAACAAATATATCAACTCTGACGCTCCTGTCATGCCTCGAAACGCATTTATAAATCTCACTTTTCTTTATGTGAACCACAAAATTGAAGAGTAATGTCATATGGAGTGACTGTCAGTGGATCTGTGTGGAGTCTGAGGACACAAAATCAATCCGGAGTGATACAGTGAGCTCTGAGTCACCTTGAACTGGGACGGGGTCTCCAAGGTGCTGAAGTCAGGTGAAGAGGCGATCCTCTCCTCCAGTGTCTGCAAAAACACTCTTTGGAAATCCAGCATCTCAGGGAGGCTACCGAACAGGCTTTCCATCTGCGAGCAACGCAAGAGAGATGTCAATATGGATCAAGTGAAGAAACTTTTACCTCTTTTGACTACAAGTGTGTGATCATCTTTAGCTGCCCTCTGAAATGTTCTATTAATATTGTTAATCTCCGGCATGGATGGCACTGGGCTACTATGGCATTTTATACACAATTTAAAGCAATTATACAATTTAATGGATTCTAAATTATGAACCCAACGTCACTAGTCCAGTTTTGGTTCAATCCAAACTGGACTCATTTTGTTCAGAAAAAAATAGCATAAAAGAATATCCAAACGTAAGTAATTTTCAAAGTACTATAAGAAATAATTATAAGAGCAGAAACCCCCTTTTACTTTTGGCCCCCAACCTGTTCTAATCTTTAAAAATTCCGACCAAAATTAATTTGATCGATTTAGGGCATGAGTCCAATCCATTTTCACTGTGGGCAACTTAGGAAAGTATTGAGAGGTGTGAAGAAATTAAAATTCTCAACAAAAAAAACGTGTCTTTATGTTACGGCCTCTCAATCTTTCAAGTATAAATGGATCCATAAACCATCGTAATTCATAACAGCCAGTCATTCCTTCCCCAGAGTGTCATAAAAGCTTCACTCTGATAGTCTCATATCAGGGCACTCAGGGAAGGCACACACACACACACATACACATGCATACATACATGCACGCGCACACACATACACACACACACCCTTCATTAAAAGCAGAACAAGCCCCTGTCCATTTTGTGTCTGGACACGTCCCACCCTCCCATAATGGCCTTTTAATTTGCCCTCGAGCTCGCGGCCTATCGACTACTGGGGTATCTCAGCAGTGGAAGCTTGGGTTTGGTTTGAGGTCAAGCCGCAGCCCTCTTGGCACACTCTTGGAAACTTGAACAGTGAGAATATTGACACGCTAAAGCTACATCTAATTAGTAAACAACGTAAGCTTTGGGATGCATTCTCTCACCAGAAACACAATCGGGTCTGCTGGCGTGCTAACCTTTATCTCTGTGTCCTCTTGGAACTCCGTAATATCATTCCGGGGCTATGCTAATTTGTCCTCTGACTGCTAACAATGCGACAGATAAGGCCCAGTACATCCACACCACCCCAGAGTTATAGCAATGAACTTTATGTCCTGCACGCTCATTAGCCAAGACGTTTTGAAACATGATGACAAGTAAAAAAAAAAAGGGACAGTGTGTAAGATTTCAACGGTAAATTAAATCAGCTCTTGAATCTGTTTCACCGTTGACTTTTTTGATAACATTTGAAACGTGAATTGGTTAACTCATTGTGTCCCATTGACGCACAAATACGTCAAAGCAAATAGTGACGTCGTGTGCCATTGACGCATTAATACGTCAATTGCTTTTTTCGCTATTTTCACGTTCCCAGATGTCTATTGTATCTAATATGTATGGGGATGACTTGAGACCATATTTTATCGAGCCAGCAGGTGGCAGCATTGCTCTCTGAATGGTTTGAAAACATGTAGGTGCACATGTTGTGCCTGTTTTTTCTCAACTTTCTGGTGATTTCAGTAAAACTTCCCTCTACTCAACGGAGGATTACAGGGGAACGAAAAAAGCTATAAACAAAATTCTTTTTGCTGAGGAAAGTAGACAGTCCATTCTTTTAGAATCTAGTGTCGGATTTCAGATAGTCATAGTACACAATATTCTGTGGGTCTTGAAAAATCAGTAAAAATCATCAGAAATGGCTGGCACTATGGGAGTACCTGTTCTGAAATAGGCTGGCATTCAATGAGTTAATTAAAAAAGTGGACAGGATTGCAAGATTCAAATCCCAAGTACAATACCCTTTAATACACTTATAAAAAAGACATTATTTTGTCCAATATAGACATAATTCTAATACATTTTTCATACTCAAAGCACTTAAACTTGATTTAAAACTGCTCAAGTTATGTTCTGGAAACTCTCTGCCACCTAATGTACAAAATGATTCCATGATAGCGATACTTACCATAATTACAAACAAATGGAAGAAAAAATATGTGCCTGATGTTTAAGAAATAAATTCTAAAGAAGTATGTGAGAGGTGTCGCGGCAGAAGGTTTTTGGGCCTGTGTCTTTACCATATGATATTGTGTTGCTTTTTTATTGTTCATTATGACGTTGTTGTTCCAAATTGAATGGGTGAGGGGTGTGTGGAATCTTTTTTAAAGTTTGTTTCAAAACTAAGTTACTCTGTTATTTTTTGTTCTGTAAAAAACTGTCTAAAAGGTCTGAGGAATAATGATCTTGATGGATTGAGAAAGCGTAGTTAGCGTCACATGATAATCTCCTTTGGGTTGCCAGTTCCCTTGGTGAAATCCAGCTGCATCAGTGCTCAGACCTGGAGAGGCAGCTACGTTTCTTTGTGTGTGTGTGTGTCCTTGTGTGTGTCCGTGTGTGTGTCCGTGTGTGTGTCCGTGTGTGTGTCCGTGTGTGTACAACATGCAGGGACATTGGCAGCAGAGGATTGTACTGCTATTGTAATGACTATAAACCAGTAGGAGAACAAACTGCACACAGGTTATTTCAGTCTCCTACCTCATCCAGTGTCAGGAAGGTTTCTCTCTGCAGAGGCTTCAGGTAGATCTCGAACAAATAGGTCAAGTCCTGTGAACAAATTCAAAAACACTGTTACATCAGGCAGCCATCTTGCAGTCGTTTAAAATCTACTTACTCATAAGAACAGCGCAATTTCTCCTTTCATAACCTCCAACTATCTCCCTCCCACAGTCCCTCATCTCATTTCTGCATCGGCTGCTCCCTTCTATCTCACCCACCCTCCAGCTTTTAATGTGGTTGTAGCCTGTCTGGGTATCAGTGGGGATATTCTCATTAGGTTGATTTATGAGGTCTCCTGCACCTTCTCATCCTCCTCCCACCAGCCACCTCAGGGCACAGTCAATGGTGCACAGAAACGGGAAGGATCGGCTCCGGTGCTGAGGAGCGGAGGAAAGACCGTCTCCTTCCCTCAATTACAACTCAACAGTGAGGAAGAGAGAGCACGCTAATGAAAAGCGGAGAACAAAGGGGGAACGGTCGGCCATGGTGGTTACGCGGGGCGGTCGTGAATATGGGGCTGTGTCGCGAGGCAAAAAAGGTCAGACTGGGAAACCTTGAGTGCGGCAAATTGGCTGTAAGAAGATGAATAATGCTGAAAATGAGGCAGCACCACCTCTATGCCCTACACCCATTATTCTTTATCAGCTTAAACAAAGTTCTCACACAGCAGCACACTGACATGTTGTTCGAAGCTCCTTTAAGTCAGTCCATAGGCTGTCACAGAGGAAAAGTGAGGAACGAAGACACGGGAACGAATTGGGTAGTTTCATGAACAAAATACAATACTGTTGATCTTTACCTTTTATACAGATGAATCTCGGAATATTAGAATAAAAGTCCATTTACTTCTGTCATTCAACTTACGATGTGAAACTAATTTATGACAGACTCGTTACATGCAAAGTAATATATAGTTATAATTTATTATTATGTTGATAATTGGCTCACAGCTGTAAAACCCCCAAATAAAACCTCAAAATGTGAATACGATGAAAATGGCTTGATGTATATCACATGTTGCATGAAAAAAGTCTTCATCATATACTGGTTTCAAACATTGAATTACAGATGAACGATATTCTAATTTTTGGGGTTTCACCTGTGTGTGAAGTCATGTTATGAACCTAATCTGCAGTTATGACATGTTTCTGCTTTGAACTGTAAATGCATTGTTAATAGGGATCTATAAATATTTAAATAACAATGTTTAATTCATAATTGATGCAGTTTTAGTGCGCCTCACCTTCACATAAGACTTCTCCGTGTCCACCAGCTCCTGGATGACCTTGCGTAGCCTCTCGGTGACGCTCAGGTGTTTGGGACAGGCCCTGAGCAGGGTGGCCTCACTCCGGGGAGCTGATGACATCTCTGCATCACGCTGAGCTGGAGGTGGCTTGGGGTCGTCCATCAGACCAATCGAGCCCAGTGTTCCCTGGTGAAGCGGCTGGTATAATGTACACACTGTATCTGCGCTCTGTGGGGAGACGAGGATTGATGTTAGACTGATAAAATCTAAAGTCATTGGTTAAAATAGGGACCAAACTGGAGCCCAGCACAGCACACATCATTATGAAAAGTCTTGCTCCCCTATTTCTTCATTCAGCACTAATGACTAGAACCTACAAATGAATAAAATAATGATGTATGTAATTCCACGCAGTACATGGACAGCCAATCCCCTGGGATACTCAGCGTTATGGAGATTTAGCAATGCACTCTATGCTAATTGGCTTTGCATCAAAGGCTTCCCCATGCATGTAAAAGGCTAACTGGATATCTCGAGCAGATAGCATTACAACACATTACATTGCATTTTTACGCATAATGGACACTGGCACAGGCCTGATCCACATCAATAAATCTGACTCTCCAATGGGCCATGCATTAGTTTGATGAAATATGCACAACGTCTGTGCAATTATACATCAAGTTACGATGTTCAATCTGTCAAGAAAAGACTTTTGTGATAAGTGGGACCACATAGAAGAGCCTGCTCTATTCTTTGTGTAAAACAGGTAATTCAAATCGCTGGATCAGAGCGATTGCCTGAGGTATGGAAATTAACATCAGCTGGAGGCACCACGCTGAGAAGACTTGCCGGTGGCAGATAAGGTTTGTCGTCTACAAGCCACTGTGGCAGAAAATAAATCACTATCTCAATTCCTCCTCTACTATTCCCCGGATCATAACAGAACTAGAGCGGTTCTGTTATGGTCCCTGGTACATTACAGCCTTCTGCACTGGGGAAAGAGCTTCTGTGGTTATAAGAGTAGGTTAAATATATTCTGGAGTCCAGAAAAAGTATGTTCTGTTAAATCTGAGATGACACAGGAAGACATTTTCTGAATGAAGGTGTTTTATGTTCATTTACCGGTGAAACTCAGAAGAAAGAAATATTGTTCAAAAGTAAATTTTAAACCAATATATGATAAAGACTATAACATATACAAAGCCTTCATTATAATGTTGATGATTATGGCTTTCCGGTAATTTTCGGGGATGTTTTATCTGGGGTTTTTACAAGCTGTGAGACAATTATCACAATTATAAAAAACAACAACTTTGCGTGTATACGGGTCAATCTTTTTTCACAGATCAGTTTCACAAAGTTCATTGACTTACAGAAGTACATTTTCACTTGTATTTCCTACAGATTTAACAAAATTACTTTTTAAGTGACCATTCCCACTTCTGACCGTCTGCACCAATGGTTACTGTGGATTACAACATGTTAAGATGTAGAGATGTGTCTTTGCAGCTGTCTGTGAAAAGTGCTGTAACAGCTAAAGTTGACTAGTACTTCAGATATTTTAAAAATTCCTGCTACCCATTTTTATTTACTATTGCAGTAAGTAAGATACATGCTCATTCAGAGTGCAGGTACAATAAGTAGAGCAATTTTGAAAAGCAATAAAATAATGTTGAGATACTCGCTCTGCACCCAAGGTCGAAAAGCACTTGTCCCATCTCCTACGGAAGCAAACATTCTCAATTGTGTTTCCAAGTTTGGGTTAAAAGCACTTTACTTTAGATTCCTGATGATTCTATTCAGATCTCTGACCAGGTCTGGCAGACCTGGTCAGATGGCAATATTATGGCTCTAGTAATAATAGGTTTCACTGAGTCACATGGTGTAGTGGTCGATTGTTAGGCCCGGCTAAACATGGCTTGGCATTTTACTGCACACACTCGTACTTGTGACGTACAAACTCGTTTGTAAAGGTTCTCTCCTTTGCAGACAATGAAAGGTGTCATTAATAAGCCTCAGTTCCTCAACTCTCTCATTGACCGACATCCTATGCAACAATATGGCCGGGGAGAGTGATAGGTTTGAAGAGAAAGAGGAGAAGGGAGAGAGGGTGGTGTATGCCTGAGCTAAGCTTCTCTCTTCAAGTGATGCACAATGGAGGCACTTCTCACACTGTGTGGTCTGATAATTACATGGCAGCTGGCGTGACGAAGCTGGACAGTAGGAAAGCGACACGGTGCGTCATTTCACACATTTATTGGGCTTACGTAGACTTCCCTTCTGGAATTCCCATACACTGGCATTTAAGTTAAGATTTGTCCTGATTCAAAGCAAGGCAGGGACTAGTAAAATGCTAGAAATACTAGAAACAAAAACTACTACTTCTTACTTCTGGTAAAGAGCTGAAAAAAGTACCACAAACCAAATATGTTTTAAACACGCTCAATCCTAACCACAAAATATAATTGTGTGAGGCCTGTATCTGAACCTCGGGAGGTAGTGGGGAATATTGTTGCCAAGCGTCTTGTGAAAATAATCGTAAAATTTCATTCTGTTGTACTTTTTATCAAGTGGAGACAAAGCATCGACTTCATGTTACCAAAATCTTGCTCACAGCCAACAAAATCCCTCCCACTAACAAGTGTCATTCTTCATTATCCACTCCACACAGGCGAAAATGTTATGCCTTATCGTATGAAGCGTGCGTTTTTGAAATGCGTCACATTTCCCAGACTGAATGTGGGAGTTTATATGAAGGAAATAGGGGTTGAAGGATATCAGAGGGACATATTCATTGAACAGCTCAGTAGCACAGCACCAGACAGGAGAGGCTTGTGGAGACAGATAACAGTTATATGTGCTGTTTATTTCGGCTACAGGCCCCTGGAGCGAAGGGGAGGTTGGTTTTCAGAAGTCTATGAGTCGGCTACCAATGCTGCACAAAGCTTGTGCTAATACGACACAAAGACTTAGATGCAAACATATGTTAATGAGAACGATTAGTTGAACCACCACGACACATTTGAACAATATATCACCAACTTCAAGGTGATATTTAATGTCTTGTTTCCATGTCATTGTGTCATCAAACTTGTATGTAGAAATATTCAACCCCTATACCTTTAGTCCGTTTTTGCAGGTCTAAAATGTCAGGAAAATAAAACCTTTCCACCTAACAGGTTAAAATACATACATGAAAAAAATAAGATCATAAGAATTCACTGCAAAGAATTACCATAAAGTGTTTTTTTTTTATAATTTTCTAACTGCATTAAATTACTTGCAGAAAATAAAACACAAATACGGTCTATAGCCCGAAATAATCATTTTCCAAAACATTTCAGATGGTAAAGTCCTTTTCCACACATCCCTGGCAAAATCCTGATAGTCACTAAACGGAAAGATACCTGCGATGAGTGGTGATGCGTGGAGGAGAGTGGATTGAAAGAGAGGCAGGAGCAGATTGTCATGACTCAGGAATAGCCACAACAACAATTCCATCGACAGGCTGACAGCTCGCCCAAATAACCAATTAAGGGACAGAGATGAGAGCCAGCAGCGGAGGGGGAGGAGGGGGCGGAGAGTGCTGCATGAAAACATACAATACAATACAGGTCTCCCACTGACAGCTGACGGCGATGCATCATGTTCCTGATACCTCCTATATGCCTTCGCCTTTAGTCAATTTAGAAAACGCTGCTTTGTCAACCTTTGATGTAGAAAGGGGAAGGTTAAGTCATTTCTCAAGTCAAATCTCCGAGCACTTTTCAACATGGTCCCAACATCCATATCAATGTCACAAACATCTATATCAATAACATAGTTTAGGAAATCCTCTACAAAGAAAATCAGTGATTAATATATTGAAATTAAAGTGAAGGTCAGTTGCTTTTCACATTGTAAAGATGGAGAGACGTGATTGATCGCAAGCACCAGTTAGACCCGCCTCCACAGGTTTCTGTTTGGACGCAATTAATTCAAATCCTAGATAGACAGCTCGACCAATGGTGTCAATCCTGTTAGCATTGGTCAGACTACCCCAGCAAATCTTACTGGTGATGCTTATTCCAAGGGGAGGGACTTTTTATTATGAAATAGACTCAATAAAGATCACCCTACAGGATCATATGGTCAAAAATATGTATTATTTGATATTACAATTTTATCATAAGGGCAAATTCACCACTTTTATCTAGGTTGTAGAATGGAATATTTATGTAGACTATGCGTAACACCAGGCTGACCATATTAAAGTATACGGTAAAAGGGGAGACTAAAAACTGGTCTATCATTATAAGATACATGCATTAAAACAGATAACATTAACAAAATAAACATTTTTCTAAATTCTATGTGTAACAAATGACAATAGGAGATGTCTGGCTTTTGATAGCCAGACATCTCCTATACCACCTTGGAGCTGCCGCAAGTCATGTATTGTGTTTCCACTCTGGACCAAGGTCAGTCCCCTTTTCTCGAGTCTGGAAGGCAGAGTGGTTTTGACAGCGCATCGATCATGTCATTCTTTCAGCGTGGGCAGAGAAAAACTGCTCAGAGCTAGTTTTGTTTTTCTTGCATATCAAATCAACGAGGAATGGTGATCCTGCTTTTGCAAATGGAGACAATTCTTCCCAATTAGAGCAGCTTTGTCTCATTTTATTAGCACAGTGTTTTCTGCATCTATAGTGCCTCCACCAGCCCACCCTCCATCTTAATTCCCTGTCCATTAGCTTGAGCTGTTGCTTCGTTTCTGTCTCCTCAGTCTGCGTGACCCTGGTGTAATTTCCAGACAGGGGAGAATGGAGAGGGCAAGGGCAGCATCCTCTCCCTTAATAGCACTGGTACAATGTGGAGTGTTCTGGATGGTTAGCTACACACTCAAACGTGAATGGCTCTGTTATGGCCCACAATGCCAGAATGTAGTAAGAAGGTTATCTAATAAATGGTATGGTACACTTTTGATTCACTTAATTGTTAATCGGAAAAACGTGTACATAGGATTTTAACCAATTTAACTAAACAGCATTCAGTGTTTATATATATATATATATATATATATATTGATTTATATATATATACATAAATGGCCCATTACTAAAGATTAGGACATCTCTCCTTATTGTGGTGAGATGATAAATGCAATCTGGCCTCATTGCTGTCACTTTGCGGTGCTTGCTTTCCTGAGGTGGGTGTAAACACTTGCTCTAAAGCGACCAACACACAACTCTATCTCCCGTTAGCGCATCAGTGGAGTCATTATGCAAAGGGCTTATGGACTCTGCAGATGAAACGCTGCTGAAATCAAAGTGGAAGTCTAGCATTAAAACAGTGCAAGGAGCATTTAAACCCTGGGTGGGACGACTTGTAAAATATAAATGAACAGAGCAGATTTTATGGACGGACAAGTTATGAAAAACAAATTGGCAGTGGTTTATAAAATGCTTGTAAAATCAAATAATTTTTCAAAAGAGCTCAACCATACATTTGGAGGGTCAAATGAAGCTCACAAGCGAAAAAAAAATTGCTTTACCAATGTATTATATTTAGATTTAGATGTAAATTTAACATTATATTTTCCACTTTTACCACAGAGTGATGCCACAAACTAGTGATGGACAAATATGTGTCATGTTCATCCATAAATTTTAATTTAAGAAGGCGGCAACATGAACACAGATTTCAGAAGGATTCCAAAAAGTTAAATCAGGCCAAACTAATAGTTTTGTTGATCTACTGCACAGAATATACTAAAGGCAACTTTCATCTTTAAACTTAAATCTACTAGCAGTTATTGGGATTATATTAAATAAATATGCAGCAGCAAAAACAGTGATAACTAAGAACATGCATGTCCCTGGCAGTCCGAGCCACCCATCTCTCACCAGCACCTGCCCCACGTGACGCAGGAGGGACGCGAAGGCCAAGTGACCGCCCGGTCACACTGATTCATGGCGATCCATTTACTGTGTTACTGGGCCACAGTGCCACAATGCCATCGACGTCTCAACGCTTGCTAAAAGAGGCCCATAAATCAAAGTGAGCGCTCAGGAGGAAGGATGAGAAGGGAGGGCTGGTCCCAACACTCGCCTCTCTCCACTTTTATTATTCATTCTAAACAAATATTATTCCGATAAATCTCCAAGGACTACGACGAACAAGTGTGTTTTAATAATGAAGCCAGTTACAGATTAAAAGCGGCCTATGTGCTCGAGTCCCCAAGGCCATTCACAACTACTGCCAGCACAAAGACACTAGCGTGGATAGAGCACTGCTTTTTACCCCGTGTGATGCATGAAACTAATGAAAGGTTAAGTGGGAATGCTTGTCACTGGCATTTAGCAATGTGATGGCATTGAAAGGTCTGGAATAGGAACAGCAGCCGTGCCCTTTGAAACCTGGAGAGACTCCATCTGGTAAAACTACTGTGCAGACATGACGATGGGTAAGAGATAATAGACTTTACAGCACAAGGGTAACCTGGATTCAAGGCCGTTTTACATCAATGTCAGTGACACTGTGAAGAAGGGACTTTTTTCTGTCTAGAACGTGGCTTCAGATTGATACTAAAGACTTAACTGCACATAACACATACAAATAATAATTGATGTCTTCTAAACTCGCCTCTATCCTTAACACAACATATTTACCATCCACTCTTCTTCTTTGGCATCCATTTGGCAAGACAGACATGCAGCTATTTCCTCCACCAGGCTGAATAGCTTTTCTTTCAGTAGACATCCCAGGCCTTTCAGAAAATGTCCAAATAAGTGGTCCGTCTTTTGAACATTCAAGTCAGGCATCCACACCCTGCACATGGTGAGGAGGGAGTCCAAGGCTGGTGTCTGATGCTCGGTGAACAAATCTATTGAGGAGCTTGTCTGGTTGTATGGAAAGGGCCTGACCACTACAGTGAAGTGAACACATCAGGAAGGCTCTCTATTATTGTCCACTGCTTTGTCCTCTACCAACTGGATTACTACAGACGGAGCAGAATGATAGTATTAACTACAGTTATAAAGGTAAGCCCAGATTACACGCCTTTTCACAGGCAGATGGAGGCTGGTTGAGTCACAACACACACACACACCACCCATAATGATCACCAGATCTGTGAGCCAGACATGCATGATTGTCTGGAAAGCGTGGTCAAAATATGGTCAATTTGCAATTTCGCCATTCTGTCACAGGTTTTTGAAAAAGACACGTGACAGTTACGGATTAGCGCAGCTATCAATAATGAAGAAATACTACTTACTCACCAATTTTCTGTGTTTATAACTATTTGCACTATAATAAAGAGTTACAGTAGATTAATAAAAAGGTCTCTAAACTCTAACCCCGTGCTTTGTCCCTCTTAACATAATCCATAAATTCTTTAACATCTTTGACTTCAGGGACGGGTTTAAAAAGAGATTAATGTCCCATTACCAGATTCTATTATCATCCCACTCCCAAAGGTTGACAGCCACTACTACTCACAACCACCACAATGTTCAACCTAATGTGTGCGTGTAATGTCAGTCAGCTGGAGTCCCTCATAAGTCCATAAGTTTAGAATGTCTTGTCTGGGGAAGTAGCAAAGGAGCTTAATACGTCTGCTGTCTACTGCCTACTGCCTAACCTTTTCTTCAATAGCTATAACAATATAAAGGATGAAAAAAGGTTTGAACACAAGGTGGAGCTCAAGGTCAATTAAGAATGTGAAAAATATGCAAGGATTTCCTAAGAGGATTTTTCTTGTTTGTGTCTCTGTGCATGTGATGATGTTTACCATACAGAATAGACAGTCAAGGAACCTGTCTGGAAGATAAAAACCGTATAAATTACACAAAACTACTCTATACTATCAACACAATTTTTCTATACTTGAGAAATTTTTTCCCATTTAAAAAAAATAAATAAAACAATATTTTTGGAGGAGTACAGACTTACAAATCAACCCTAAAGCATTTCCGTGCATAGCTAATCAATGCTGCATGGCACTCCACAAGGGACTTACGCGGGACCAATCGGGGTGACTTTCTGCCATCGATTGGTCAGGCGTGTAAACGGTCCGACAGACCAATTGCAATGGCTGTTTCTGAACGAAATCGTTAGGTTAACTCAAGAGAACGGGGCTCACCATCCTGTTGCTAAATGCCAACACTGCTTAGTAAGCATCCCAGCCCAGACATACACAAATCTCTCTCATGTAATAAGTGCAAATTGGAATGCAACAGAGCAATTAATCAAAGGTAGGCACTGTGGTGAGGCTGATTACATGCTGCGACAAGTGGCTTGAAATTATTCATTCCAGTTTGTTCGTCACTATTGACTTTCACGGCTCACATGTTCAAATGCTGATAAATACTGATTTTCTACTCCACTACTTTGGCTGTTTTTTCCATTTTGCCTCACAGAAGAAATGAAAGTCTGTGTAGTGCTTATTAAACTTAGCTCAAAATCTGATTTACCACTCCCAATGTCACTCTCAGATTTTGTCTCCTTCACAGTAGCTGACTATTCCAGATGAATGCACAAATCAGCATTTATTATTAGGCAACATTAGCAGCAGCCCATCAATGTATTAAGTCCACTGTTTATACACACACCTTCCTTTCTCCGCTCGTTGCAGTGTAGAGAAAGCCGGCGGGGAGCTGAGCAGCAGCAGCAGTGGTGCAGTGCAGATCTGAGCGCAGTGGGACTGACTAATGTCACCAGGCAAACAAAGAGTGAAGTCTGAATGGAGAGGAGGAGAGGGCAAGTTGTCCTTTCTAATCCACCTCCAGGCAAAGCTGAGGTCAGAGACACGCCATAGCATCTTCTGACACAGACAATTAGAGCAGAGCCAGGGGCAGTGGCAATTAACAATCTTTCACATGGCCTGCTTTTGCAATCGCTGAATCTATCATAGCGAAGGGCTACACTGCTGGCAATTTTGAATTTAGACACTAAAAGTAGCTAAATAAAAATATAGTTGCAATGCACGACTTGGCATGGGCTGATTTGTGCCATTTCAAGCTTCTGCAAGGAAAAAAAACGCCTTGATGTAAAACCAAATAATATGGTAATCATTCCAAGCTAGGAGGCAAAATATTTGCTGAGGGGCATGCAGGAGGGGAAATCCAAAAGCAAAGATAGTCTTAAAAAGCAACCAGATAAAAGAGTATCAAACAGCACAAGTAGTTGCATTTGGGACTATAAAAACATGATATTCTCAGTACCATGGAAAGGCTCCAGGGTTGAACTGAGTTGATGTTTCGGATGCTACTTTCACCACTGTTGCAACAATTCCTTCTAGAGTTCCACAGTTCAACTCAAACGTTACCACCATCTTGTGCTAAGGACGTATAGGTTTATTTTAGTTTAATGGATTAAAAAAATTACCCATCTAATACTTCAACTATTACCGCAATCCTCTCCGCTCAATCTATGCAGAAACATGTCTCCTGATGACCACAACGTTTTTCTATATAAAGACCAGCGTGTGAAATCATCCACATTACATTAGCACAACATTCATGCATGTAGCCCATGGGAAAAGGCTTTAGCTGCTTTTAATGACTGCAGATGGTTTGAATATCAAATGCACGTACAAACATATCAAAAAGAACAACTGCTATGATGTAAAGAGATGAAAGAACTGGCATCTGACATGTTTTATAAATGAGACATGTTCGTCATGTTTGAAAGGGGAATGTACATGTTGTGATGTTATTTGTACACTAATATATGGGTTCAGGCATAAGTAAGTATGTTTGATGTGTAAGCGAAAAGTGCAGAGGGGAGGGAGGAGACAAGATTTTTTAGTTGAAATTCTAAAAACGTGTGAATGCTAGACACCAATTCTGTGTGACAGTAATAAGCTGTATTTACACTCATGGCCAAGTATCTCAATTATGTTAATGCCGTGAATAGATGCCAGTTATGACAAGCCCATCTCAGACCCGTATCGTTTCAGCGGACCGGTCTGTCACTGTGTGTGTGTGTGTGTGTGTGAGAGGAGACAATGCCAAAGCGCTGCTGCAGTTTGAGTGTTGTAGCCCCTCCTACCTTGCTGTGCTGTACGGGCCTGTGTGCGCAGTGGGAGTGACCAATCTCTGGTCCTACGCAGAGGGAAGCACCGTTGTCAGCACACAGCACATCTGGAAGAAAAGAGCGTTCGTGTTCGGATCATTGGAGTGTGTGTCGTGACTATTCATAACAGCACAGTGGTTTGGACTTTTCGGAAAGACATTTTGGTTTGGTCATTCTACTGAAAGCAACATGATATTTATTTAAATTGAACAAAAACACATTCTGCAGAAGTGTTCGAGAAAAAAGGGAAGGAAACAAGTTTGAAACATAACCCATATTAAAACATTTCATGGGATGTTTACCAGGACAACCAAAGCGTGCAATAGTTTTGGATAGATTAACGCTTGACATATTGAGACTGTGGGTTTAAAAGCATATGTTTCTTAATTCTCTTCTAGTTCTTATCCTATAATCCTAATGAGTAGAAAGACAGATTGTCAGAATGAGTGAACTTGTAAATCCATACATTATAACATTCATGCTGTTAATTGGAAACACCTTATCATCCTGCCTGTGACAATACGCCCTCTAGAGACGAAAGATGAAACCACAAGCTCCTCTGATCACACCATATAAAGTAATGAGAGCTTCAAGTCTTTCATTCTTTTCTAATAAACAATGGCAGGACTTTTTTTTTTTTTTTTTTTGATGAATTATTATTAAAACAGAACTTAGCTGCAAAGATTAATCACAATTGAACTGTTTTGACTGGAAGTGCACGTCACAAAGAGATACATTTCACACATTTTATGCTGGTGAAGTGATGCAAAACATTTTAATAGGCTTTAACTTGCTATGACATCAAAAAGCGGATTCCCAAAGCATTCTACCTTTTGCTGTAAAACAAGTGCACAAGTTTGACAGTACAAAGGGGCATCAGCTGTGTCTGTCCAGCAACACAGAGGACCTTACCGGTCTGTCCTTACTCTTCTGATCCACAGCGCGACAAGCTGACAGCTACACATCTGCAAATTGTAATGAGGATGCCGGTGGTCAAAAGCCCTGTGTCCTGGTCCTGACATCGCCCCCGGAAGATGTGCGAGCAAACAAACAAGCTCGTTTAACATAATGAGTCAGCTTTGGGGAAGCAGAAGTCTGGGTGAACTAAAAGGAACTGTTTTCTTTGTGTTTGTACTGTAATGTGAAGTGAGAAAACTCAACTTCTGCGGAAGCTTAACAAGTAATCACAATTGGTTTACGCACAGAGAATTTGAATAATTTACTCAGCACATAATTATAAACAAACAATAATCCTTGTTTGGGTTTTGTTTTCTCACCATCTGTCACGCTGTGGTGCCTTAACAATTCCCCAACTGAATCCTATCTAGTTACAGGTGCAAAAACAAAGTGCAACTCGACACCGCCATGATATGGAAATGTTTGCCAGTCAAGTTAAAGGTTTTGGATTTGGATGGACTTTACCTGAAGAGGATTTGGCGCGGTGGTGCTGCTGCTTGGGCACATGTCTGGAGGGAGGAGCCATGTGGTTAAAGGAGGGGGGTGATTCTGGGACATCCCGCCTCAGACTGAGGTGTAGGTCCTGCTCAGAGAACAGCATCTGGATCCGAGCCAGGTCCAGACCGGAGACACACAGGCTGTTTAGGATCAGGATTTCATCCCCTTTGCGCAGACCTGGGAAACATGAATGTATAAAATATTAGCAAAACTTCATGTTGTAATTGTGCTCCACCCAGCCATTGTTTTGGCCATTACTGATAACACAAACACACTTTTTGTGGTTGTGTAAAGCCAGATACATTATCGCCTAAGAAATGTTTTCTATTTTAAAATGAAAACATAATTGGACCGATCATTGTACTCGATAGAAACCGAGTGCAGTTTATGCAAGGTGGCCCAGAAATTCAGAAGAATTGAAGGCTGTGAGAGAACCGGGAGGTGGATCAGGGCCAGAAGAGGAAAGGTTGTTGTTAAAAAAATTGTCTACATGCATTTATCATCCTATATAATCTCAAAATATGGCTAAACATAGACTACAAAAAACAGACTATAATTAGTTAATAATACATTATAAAGGATTGGAATCTCTACTTGGTATTGTCCTGCTTATGGGGGAACATGGTTGATGGGGACAAGCCATTCAACGAGACAATGGACTGTAGTGGCATAACATTTCCTGGACGACTATCTAGAAACAAAATTCTCAGCACAATGTCCAGTTGCGCACCTTGACGATAGGCCAGTCCATCCAAAGGCACCTCACTGACAAAGATCCGGCTGTTGTTCTGCCCATCGATGTGCCCTGTAACTGCAAACCCTGTCAGGAAACAAAAGGAGGGGGGCATATTAAAAATGTGCATAGTTTAACAGATGGCACGAACAAAAGATGAGTTTCGCGCTGACTCACCAAAATCGGCAGCGCTGCTCGGCTTGCTCAGGTGCAGAGTAAACACATTAATAGGCACCACCTCCAGATGATCGGTGACCTATGACCGGTATTAAACAAATCAGCAAGAGCGCATCGACTTCACATAATAGACCGTATCCTTCGTATTTGAGCTCTCACCAGGTCATCAAGGATCTCATCAGAAGACACGTATCTGACCTCCACTCCCTGTCCCACTGTCCTCTGCAGGCGTAGGCAGTGCAGACAGGGATCCAGCCGTTTTACCTACCGACACACAAGCGCGGTATTCAGAGCGGTGCATGTAGTGACAATCCTCGCTTGCGTATTTCACACAATCACGCCTCGCACAACAGCTGCAGCGTGGCCGAGGCGTGAATTATTCAGGCCTTACACTTTTGTGATGAGAAATTTGCACCAAACAAAATGGGATCACCCTGAGGAGTTGGGATTTGTCTGTAAAAGTCAGTCAGACAATGGGTGAATAGAAGTGTTACGCCACCCCTGGGAAGAACATGGGCCGATTATTTTCTGTGGGGAATCCAGTGCTCATGATAGATGTTAGCAAACAATTACACCACTGCGCAGCTACAATGAACTGAACAGGAGTTTCAATGTTGTTGCGACAAACTAAGGTTTTAGTTTGTAAGGATGGAAAATGGGGTGGGTCTGTTACAGAGGAAATAATTGTCTGTAAAATGGCAAACCAGAATGTTTATGGTGACCATGAGAAAACTATAGGAGGACATTACTATTTAATTCTGCAGGATATAATTTTGGTCAGAATGAATCAATAAAATTGAAGTGTACAACTCTTTTAGGCGCGACTCAGACTTATAAATGTGTTTAAGTGTTTCACTGTTGGAATAAAATCGAAGAGGTTTTTGTGTACAACATGCCTCTCGTTGTCCATGCTGCAAGTTAATTATACAAATTGTGAAATTGTGTAATTGAAATTTTAAACATTCTAAATGATCATAGATCATCTCTACATACCAAGGAGCATGTTATGTCTCCTTTAAATTCTCTGGCTTCTCTACATGGCATTACTTGCACTTTCCAATTCTTTATCTTCGAATTGTCTACTTCTTGTAAACGCAGGAGATTCTTTGCAAACCAACCTTGCATGCCACAGAAAGAAGGTCAGCCGCTGTCTGCTCTCTCCTGGCAGGAATCTGGACTGTCAAACTGTCTGGCATGTAGACGCTCACGACCATTTCTGCGGCGCTCTCCCACACGCCACCTTCTGGGGGCGACAGCGAGTAGATGCTGCTGAGGACATCCAGCCTCTGTAAATGACAACATAAAAAATTAGATGGTGAAAGGGGGGCCAGGAGGAGGAGGAGGAGGGAGTAAACAGAGAATGGGAGGGGCCTAGGAGGAGTGAATGTGACAGAGTTACGGGCCACAAATCAATACAGTTCCATTAGTGTAAATAACAGGCCATGGATCAAACAACAAGGCAGAAATGTCATAGAATTAGGCTTTCATGAATTTATTTGACAGCTCGGACTGCACTTTCTTAAAATAATAGTTCTCATAATGATTGTGTAGACATGTCTAGACGTCTCAATGATATCGGCGTACTAAGAACCCAAAACCACAGGCCATTATTAGTACGCCTGATGCCATACATACTGGCCAGTCTAATTCAAAGGCAAGCGCTGGATGGGAGGTAATTATTTGTTGGTGGCAGTAACAGTGGGGTTTCAGAGTGGGTGTATGAAGCAGTGAGCATGGTTTGAGGAGTTTGGGGTTTTGGTTGCGACTTTATGTCTCTGGTGGGGAAAGACCACAATTATCAAGGCTGAAGGGAACCAAACCAAGACCTCCAGATCTCCAATGAATCAGCGCGTCTGACCACGTAAGCTCATGGAAACGCCAAGGAGACGGTGGGTCAAAGCTGCATTGGCTCTTTGTGGAAAAAGTAAATTGACTAACCAATGAATGTCGTAACTGGACATTATAATAGTGTGATGTAAAATTAGCTAGAATTAGGCAGAATGCATCCTAATTTTAGAATATTAAAGAATATCTAAAACTTAAAACAAGAAAGAATTATTGACAATTCACTGTATCTTCTATTTGGTGCATTTACTTTTGCTGCTTGGGTCCATGTATTCCTACTGTTCTGTAATGTGCACTGCGCCACTGAAATTTCCTCATTGTAGGAATGAGGAATGAATATCCTACAATAATCCTAATTCAAGCATAGCACCACTTTATGTAAGTAGACAGGCAAACAGACATTACAGTCTTCAATATCTAGTACTCAAATCAAGCAAACAAATGATCTTTTTAATAGTCCGGGACATTTTACAGATTTGTATGATTATTTCTTGTTTCAATAGTAATTTTTTCTCTTTCCTTTGCACCATGACAGAACGTGGTTAAAAGTGGTATCTATTCCTTTCCCCGTGAGGCCTGGGCAGTGCATGTATCGATTGTGGAGAGAGGTGGTGACATCAGGATGTCGGAGATCACAGTGCCACCGTAATTCTTATGAGGAGCGACGAGGGAAGCAGCTGAAGCGAGCACCACTTCATTCTTGGAGTGTCTGATGAGAATGTTCAGAGCTGTGTAGTAGACAGGCTTTGGGCTTTTGTGTCCACGAAAAGAGCAATCCTGAAGCCCTGTAGTGGATTAATGTGAGATCCAGCCTCCTGTTCTTACAACTGTCAAGCCTTTGGATTCCCGAAACTCTAAACACACAGTTGGGCAGTTAATTCTTGTCCCAGATGTCGCTAAAGTAAAGTCGACTTCATTATGAAAGGCAGGAAACGCAGGATTTTGTGAGCAAAGTTGGCCCGAGTGAACTCAGGATTTATAGACCATGACCTATGACATTTGTTTTTCAAATCTTTAAATCTCTAATCTCTAAAAACTCTGATGCTCTCAACATATATGTTTTTCGATGGTCACACGTACAGCACTTATCTAAAAGCTGTTTACATCATAAAACCGTCCACACACCAGCACTGCTGATATGTGGCTAAATGCATTTAGCAAGAATACAATAAACTACAACTAAATTGCAGTGGTATTCAAACACAGTTACTTCTATTGTACATTGTATTGTATATGATCTTAAACTTTAATTTAGAAAATGCTAACTATGTTACGAGTATACAGAGTCCTTTAAACATAGTATTATTAGTGTGTGTGTCTAATAAGTTCTTACAAGTTGCACAATGTCACATTAGAAAAAACTTTCGTTGCGTCTCTGAACCAGAAATCAAAAAGCTGATAGGTTGAGCTAATGTCGTCTACCATTGCCGGCTCAGGTAACTATTTTCTCTGTAAAAGCCAGCTCAGTCCCACCCTTCAACAAAAGAAGACTCCATTATTACAGAGATGACAACAGAGAAAGTAACCGTCATGCCATATGGCAGAGGTAAGTATGACAAACACTCAAGATAGCACAGAAAACCACCCGCTCACTAGACTTGAAAAGGATTAGTTGTAAATGATTACTTAATAGTGTATTTGAGGGGATTTGAGACCACAGTAGGACAACAGGCAAAGTCATCAGGACTGATAGAGGGAACTGCATGTGTCGACAAAAATCAATCGCACTGCGCTGGCCCTTCTGTCTCTCTCCACTTTCGCTGTGAACAACCTTAATCCCCACAAAATCAAAATGGATTCTGTTGACGCGCTGTTTCTCTCACATTCACAATAGACACATGACTAAAGACTGCAAGGACCCAGAGCATAGCAAAGTGTTAACCTAATACAAGCCTGTTCCGTTCTCCCAAAACGGCTTCTTATTTTCGCCGATAGAGAACGCATGATCCCAGTTGCCACAATTACCACGGACTTACCATGGAATCCAAACTAAGGCCTGCAAATTTAAAGAAGAGTGGCACAATTTTCCTTCTACAGTCCCTGCTCTTACAAAACCAATAACAAACAGTTTACTGATGTTGAACCTAAATAAACATCTTCTGGCTCATACATACAGGGGCGACAGTGGCTCAGTTGGTAGACCATTGGCCTTAGAGCCTGAAGGTCGTGGGTTCGAGCCCACCACAACACCTACTTCACGATTCCCACTGATGTCTGATGTAGGGATGTAAATCGGCGACCGGTTAACCGGTGGTTGACCGTCACAGCGTTAACCGGTCAAAGCTGTCGGTTAAAAAAGAGAAAAAGGGGAGAGGGGAGGTCTCTTAATAACGCTATTTTAAGCCCTATTTGCACGGTGTGCCGAGCGGGTCTGTATCTAGCTGTGTGCGCCCATGTATTATAAACTCCGGGACGACTCTCACGCCGCACGAGCCACATATGCACACACACACACACACACACACACACACACACTTTCCCCCTCTCCATACGTAACATCCACACGCATCATCTCTCCCCTCTGTTACCGTCAAAGTTGCACACTGGCGCGGGTCAGAACTACATTGGAGCTTACATTTACACACACACACATATACATACACACACATATACATACACACACATATACATACACACATACATACACACACACATACACACACACACATACCGGTCTGTCGCGCTCCTCTGTGTCACGGAGCCCAAAGGATTCGCGCAAATACACGGCTCCAGTCAAACCATATGGAAGATGTTTGTGTTTATGGTCCTCGGGATCAGCTCCACACACATCACTTGTATTTAAACTTTTGTGAAGACCTGTGAGACGCGGCTCGTCACTCGCTGCTCTGACCATGTGAACGAGCCGTCGTTTGCTGCTAGAAAGTTTTGGTTTTAACCCGCAGCTCAGCAGAATGGGAAGATTAAAAAAGCAGTTCTCTGTGCGCAAAGGTGCCGAAGCTGTTGCGGGTTTGGGCGCCGCTGTCTCAACTCTGATCCAGTAGAACGCAGAGCTGCACTTATGAAAAGTACGCGGCTCGAAATGGCTGTTATTTCAAAGAACGTGGACTATTTTAAACTACGCGGTTAACCGGTTTCAACCGGTTAATGAGGCTCGGTGGTCGGTCATGAAAATTCATAGTTTTTTACATCCCTAGTCTGATGTCGTTGTGTCCTTGGGGAAGACACTTAACCCAACTTTGCCTGAAGCCCTTGCTGAAAAATCAAAGCTCCTGTCGACTCACCACCAGCAGGAGGATCAGTGAGGGGCTGGTGCTCTGTGTACTGGGTGCAGCTCTGAATGCCACCCATTGATTTTGATAGTGTAGTATGAGTACTTCATGTCCGAAAGCAATAATCAAACCGTATCAAAGTGATGCTTATACCAGCACCTCAACATAAAAGGGTGTTCTACTTTCATGCTACATACTCAAGTAAAACACGTCAGCAGTATCTTCACACGGGTCTGTATCACCGGCTTCAAAGCAGCAGAGGTCACGGCACAGAGCGCATTCCAACCTGCCATATCTGCTTCATGTCAAAAGCCATGATCGGACATGTACAAATCTTACAGCGAATTGAATTGACAGATGCAAAAGAAAATACGAGGAGATTTTTTTTGCATTGGGTGAAGTCATTATGTCTCACCTCGGAGCTCCTGGGCGGGAGGCTGTACGGTTGACCCACGCAGTCGCCATCAAAGATCTGAAAGAAACAGAATGATTTTTATAAGTGCAGGCAAGCTCACCAGGCAAATTGACTCATAAGTGATTTGGGGAACTGACAAAGTAATTAGAATCATGTGGTCGGTTTATGTGGCATATAAACTTTTACATTTACTACTGGTTTAAAGAAGTCAGTCATTTTTGTGTCCTCAGTGTGCAAGTATAGCAGAGTTTTTCACAATTATAATACATTTTATCTTTTCATAAATACTTTGCATATTTTACGCAGATAGAGCTCATAAAGTACTCTTTTTCCACACAAAAATTGGGATAGTTATCAAAAAATGTTTAAAAGAATTGTGACTAGTTTGTGAACCAAACTGTTTTGGAGCGAGGGACTAGTTACATGAATTTAATTACATACAGTGGTTATTTTTGTGGTTTCAAATTTAGGTAACAGACTTTGAAACCACAGAAAGCATATATTGGTGTCTAAACTCAACTAAATCCACAGAAACACTGTCTATTATTCCAATTATCAGGCTGTTCCCCTAGTTTATTTCCCTACAGTATTAACGGTGGGGAGGAGTTAAGTAATTAAATGCATCTCGGTGGAATAAGCTTAATAAAAAAGGTGCGTTTATACACCAAATAGCGGTGCACAATATATAGCAAAGACATATAGTTATTGTGATAAGTTTGCCATTACTCAAGTTCTGACCATAGCATCTCTGGGTAAAGCGGCTGGAAAGATAAAAACAGAAATGGTGGGGGAAGAAATGAACAAACACTGCAGCTCCAACATGCATATCGTTTTCATTTGGGGAAGAAAAATATCAATATCTATCTGTATTAGAGTCCTGAACACAACTGTTTTCCATTATTCCAAAGCCCAACAAACCAAGTGAATGCAGTAGCCTGTAAGATATGATATGTTGTTCATAAACTGTGCATGTTTCAATAGCCCATCAATGCAGTATAAAGCATCAGTTTTACTTTCTGCGCAAAAAAGGAGGCAATCGCTAGAACTTCGTCTCCATCTCTACTAGTGTGTGTTAGAAATCCTTCCTCTTTTTGCTCCATTTGATCTCCCCCGGCCTCAGCTGGTTGATTGAAAGTTGTGTCGCGGTGGTGTGTGTGCTCGGGGCTAAGCCTGGCTGCTTGTAGGTGACTGTAAGGGCTTTAACAAGTCAATAACACAGCGGCGACAGCGAGCCATCAGTTATTGCGCTGCTGTGACTGCCGCGCCAACTCTGACGGGGAATTTTGCAGAGGATATTTATTCATTGGCAAAAGGAGGCCTCATCTGTGACAAGCTGATGACACAAAATACGTCTTGTCCTCTGTAGAAGTCAGGAGTAGACATCGCCGAGGGCAGAAATGCTGGTGAGCTAGTTTGAGGAAGGGATGAGGGGGATCACAATAGGAGTAAGGGTCTTCCTACATGGATTACCTCTCCACATTTGCTTTGAACCCCTCTCTCCCAGAGTATGGCTTCTTATATACAGGCTCTAAAGCTAAGTTTAGACAGCCTTAATAAGATTGGCCGGGGAATCTGCGAGTTCAGGGGTAAATGCCTCAAGGGTTTTTAGTATGTTTTTACAAGATAAGATAAGCCTTTAGTCATTCCTCAGTGGGGAAATTTCAATATAAAATGGTAGCATAATTATAGGTGGCGGTGCGCACAAATCTCAAAACAATTATACACATTGTCACGCCCCCTTGTGGTTGAAATTAGAATTGATTAATTTAGTGATAGATTGATTATTGAAAAACTTATTTGGCTAAAAACAAAATGTGATCCATCCTGTTTTTTGAGTAATACAAAAAAAAAATCGGCTTCCTCATATACCATTTATACTGCTGATACGAGCATGCCAAGTAAAAAGCAATCAGTTTATAAGGGTATAAAATGCACACCACTAAGCCACTGACTCACTTATCAGGCCGAAATACCTTAACAAGGGATAAAAATAACGAGGGATCTGCCTACATGGATTACCTCTGCTTTCTCAAGTGCGCAGAAACGCTCCTCTGACCCTGGTGAAATTCTCCCTCACCAGCACTTGCACATTGATAGCATTTCTGTAAACGTACTCTAAATATAGCCTGCATTACTACACCGTCACAAAGCCTCCCCACTCTCTGGCCTACTTCCCACAGAACCTGCCGCTCGCTGTTTACACCCGACTCCGGACGCGACGAGAGAAGAGTGAGAGAAATGTGTGACTGACTTTAGGGCTAGGGCTGACAGGAACAGAGGATTTAAGTTAACAGAGATGAGTCAGTATGGAAATTGTGGTACAAAGACTGCAGGCTAGTTCTCTGATGTTTGAAGATTAGCGTAAAAAGCAGGCTAAGAAAGAATTTTAGGATTAAGTAGTGGTCGAATTGTGCCGTTTATGTTTGGAAAGAGAGAGAATAGTGATTAGTTTCAGGGCCTTAGCTATTTAGATACTAATGCATTTCTCCCAAATGCAATGCGTTAGTTTAGAAAGCAACGCGAAAGGTCCGAGGCACTCTGACTTATCATTATAATACTTAATTGTAGAAGGGACACAGCAACACGTTTCAACCACTCTCTGGTCTTCACTTGCCTTGAGGAAGTGGTCGAAACACGTCACTTAGTCCCTTCTACAATAAAGGTTTTTTAAGATAAGTCAGGGTGATAAGATGAGAAGTTATCTATGCTTTCTACATGATTATCCCACGTTTACCCTGCATTATATTATTTTGATCTTCGTATGCACTCGCTACTGTTGTGTTTTTGCAATGCCTTATTTAGATTTTCCAGGGGGCTCAAAAGGATGCCCCCTGGAGAACATCTTCATAAACATCGGATTAGAAATACTTTGTAAACATATTTCATTCTGCAGTCATAATAGAATGATGTGTGACTGAAAACCTCTTCTGAACATGATTAAGACTATGTAAACTTCAATTACTAGATTAGTAGAAGGAATGAAGCCTTTATTAGGCCCACAGTTGGGAAATTACAGTAATAGCTGCACAATTGACTGATAAACTTAGTCACTTATACAACCAATATAAATATGTGCATTACTGTAGTCCAAACAAAACAAAAACAAAATCAGCTTATTGCAATTAGTCACAAATTAATAATAGATATAGATAGATTCCACCACCAACTGTGATGAAGGCACAGAAATAGTGACACAACAGGAAAGACCTCCCACATCACAGACACTGAAGGAAGCCTTTGAGGTGATGATGACCTAAGAGGAAAAGGGAAGCCTTTTAATATTTAGCGTCTTTACAACAGCCATCTGCTGGCGTCTGTGGGACTGCGGAGACCGAGAGAGAGTAGAGAATGCGTTTCACTACATATGGCCTTAAATAATTCATATTTGTGCTAACAGCGCCACTTCAGCCTTCTGCGTTACAAACTCAGCTTCATTAAAACTGGCTGGGTTGACGGGAGTTCAGTTGGGAGAAAATAATAACAACGAACCAGATAACAGATACAAATGCCACAATCAAAGCAGGGCGGCTTTGGTTGACTGATGAGTAGAGCAAACTGGGACACTTTGTAGGCAGTTTGATGTCGTGGGCAACGCGTTTGGCATTTAACAAACCTGAAAACTATGCTGTGCCACTGCTAATGGATATGCAATGTTTTCCTCTAAGCTCCATTTGAGGTTGAATTTTCCTGTGTCTCAATACAGACCACCAGCATCCTCCGCGGTGTGCCTACGGGGTGCATGAGTAGTGGATTCCCGTATCAATAAATAAGAAGTCTAATTAGTAACCTGGGGGAGAAAACCAGCCTTCTTTGCCTCTCAGCACCTGGGTAAGGAATGCTCCCCCAGCTTTCTCAATGATGGGAGGTTGGCACTTAAACTTCACAGGGGATTTGGAGTTTGTGTACTTCTAATTAATATACATGACTTTGGGGGGGGGGATTGTAAGTCAAAGCTACTCTTAACAGAGCCCAGACAACTTAACGGTGAACTGTTTCCTTGTTGATTTGTAAATAGAAATGCACACTGGGGCTAAGAATGAGACATTATTAGTCAGGCACGTGTATTTCATATTCAGAATTGGGCTAATCCAAACCACCTTAAGAGTTTTAATACCGAGGGTTCAGCCCAGATTAACCTGCTCGTGCTAAATGATGAAAAAATATAGGAGCTGTATAATTGTTAAGCTTTTGCTACAATGGCAAAATGTTTGCTTCATAGGGATTCCTTTGCTGGAGGAGTTTCTATCAATTATTTTTAATGAGTACCCTATATAATATACTACACTATTTATATCCAAGCCCGGGGTAATCTAAAGGTGCAACATATTGTCCAGCCTATTCATCTGCACCTAAATTACACACATAAAATCTTCAGGTGTGATATTTGATTATGGCTTCTCGAAACATAATGATCACTTGCTCTGTGCTGGTTCTGTTGACGTCAATGATGCGTCGAGAATCCTATAATTTTGATGTGTACCTGTGAAGCGGAGGGCCTCTTCTCTCGCCCTCTCCTCGTCAGGTTGTCCAAGCCTTTGAGAGAGGAGAACAGACCCCTTTTGTTCTGTCTGCCAGTCAGGGACAGCGAACGCCTCCTCAAGGTGGCCTCATCCCGGGAACATATCTGGACATACATACACACAGCAATGACCATCAATTTATTACTACAATTACATCTAATCAGGTCATCTTAAGTGCATTGTACTTCGCTAATATGGGTGTTCTGTCATAAGAGCCTGCGTTGTAGAAAATACAATAGAACTGAAACTGTAAAGTGATGAAAATACACTCAAAATTGCTCAAATTTGGCAAAATGTATCTTAATGTGAACACATTTTGATTGTCTTAGAACTAGATTTTCCAATGACACAAGAAAAATTATCTTGTTTTACAAGGAGACAAGAAAAAAAAAGCGTCAGTTCTTGAAATAAGACTGATGGCTTGTCCATTTGGCAAATCCAGTTTTAAGATAAGGGATATATTCAAATTAATACAAATACCTCTGGAATCAAGCAATAAATAAAGTATCAGCTCATATTCTAATCAATTTTGCAGTGTAGTAGGGAGTCGGAGGTGATCAACTAGCACTAAAGGCCGTCAAATTCATGTTCTACAACAATAAAGGGAGAATATTAAGATGCATTTTTCAGTCTATTACCAAGGCATGGAATGATGACACAGAGAAGATCCCCAGCCGGGCCAGAGTAGTTTTAGTGGGTCGGCTTGCGATGGCCAGCAGGCTCTTGGGATTGGGCAACTCTCCTCCTTGTAAACTGGCCAGGTAGCAGCGCATTCTGAACAAGTCCATGTTGAACCTTTCCAAGTTCTGCTCCCACTGCTGAATCTGGAAGAAAGGTTTAAGTTGAATTGATTTGGTGTAAATCCAGATCTGACGTTGTAAATTCATGTGTATATATGATGTACATCCAAACAGCAAAGTAACATCGTCCAGACCCCTTTTTAAAAACTCTTCTGACACATGATTTACAGCCTCTTTTGACCTCCTGCTGATCGTATATGCAAGCTTTAGAAGTTGCTTGGCTGGAGACTACTTTTAATGGGAATGCTTTTGCTTAAACAACCCGCCATAACAACTGGGTTTAATGTCTCGCGTTCATTTACAATAGTACACCCTTGTGGAGTTGTCCTTATACACTTCACCCTGATGGAATTCTTTAGCATTACACAGCCGGTAATGGGCCAGGCGGTGCTTTGTGGACCTTTGACTTTTTAAACATCGTAAACAAAAAACTCTCACACAAATCACCATGGAAGCGTGTAAAACGGAGAGTAATGTGCCGTGAAAGGGCTCGTATATCAGCACAGGTGGACTAACAGACCTTGTGTCAATGACATTTAAAGCATGGGCATTCTTAGGTGATCTTGGGCGACGAGGTATGTCCGTCATTCACATAGATGGAAAATTTGCCGTTGCTAAGATTTAGAAAGATACAATGGAATGTTCTTTACAAAATTAATCAAGATTTTTAAGATAATGAAGGGTTACTAAAGTATACCAAGTGACAAGTGAAGTTAAAATAATTATCAAGAATTACTAATGCTCCTACTAATGTAACTAATTGAACTAATATCACTGGTATTGTTACATCACCTAATTCATTTAATTTTGTTTGTTTATTTGGTTGGGACAGTACATGTTAATGAACCATCATGGATTTCCATCAGCCCACACATACACACTCAAAAACCTACGCAGCACAGGGGAGAGCATGTAAGCTCTACCCTGTTCTAACCGGGAGTGGAAGCCAGGACCTTGTTGATATCCACTCAGCCACTGACCTAAGATACATACACTTTTAGACAGCTATTATGTCACTTTGTATGTCAAAAAAAGTTTATATTTTTGCATTTTTCTTGGCTGTAAGAGTGGATGTAAGAGTGGCCGTAAGACGCCGATACTTTGTTTTGTAGGTTTTTTGGTGGTTCCACAACAGAAAAAACCTTCCAAACAACTAATCCTATAGCATCTTACAGATCACAATGATAGAAAGTAATGGCGCCTTGTGTATAACTCATACAGCTGTATATAATAATATGAACTCTTCTACAAATAAAGTTGCAAAATACACCTTTAAAAAGGTACAAACCTAACACTAAAGCGATGCATTTCTTTCCACTTACTTAAGTGAAAATAGAAAGAAAATAGTTATTTTACATTTCAAAATATCAAAAATGTTTACACAAAGTCCCTCCAACACAAAAATATTGGCCGTTTCAGAGAGGGTGATTCAAATATAGCCCAGAACATGAAATACAATTGGAACATTTATTCCAGTGAGCATCTTTGCTGTGCCTTAAAAATACATCTCCAGTCAGTGTTTGTTGCCTGTCTTCTGAGACTGGGCCAAAATCAGAACCGTTTTCGACAAACAACCCCATCAGTTAAAAAACAAGATCCCATCTGTACAGCGCACACAAATTATTTACATGCATTTCAGAGCCATTCACCCAGTCACAAATGAGCAACCCTTGTAAGCGATTATCATCTTTTCTTTTTGGCAACTGTAACATCTGTCGTCTATATAACTCCAAATGCAAAATGGGCTCTCTATTGCAACTTGATCACAGGGGGAGTGCATTTAAGAGGGGCACGTAGGGACATCAAAAGGCCTCCTCTGGCGCAGACAGGGGTGGGGGATGCAGGAGTACATCAAAGTTTAACCCTTGTCGATCCACAAAAAAACCTTAAATCTACCATCAACCTCCAGGCGCTGTTCTCTCCGTGCCGACCTGCGCCACACTGACCCTGTGATTGAGGTGGCATCCCAGGGTAATTGGAAGCAGATACATTGCATACTAGTCTTCTATGAGTCTATAAGCCCAGAGACAAGCTCATTGGTCATCGCTAGTGCGAGACTGACTGCTTCCATTTATGGTGGCTGCATGGAGGAATTTGTCTGAGGATAGATCTAAAACTAGATAATTCTGAAGGAAATTCGAGAGTAAGAGAATTTGTGTCACTGGCACAAGGACCATAACACATGAAAACGTTAGTCTGGAGCAGTGCTGATGATCAATTGATCCCAGCATCAGTCTCTATAATTGCCTATACAATGAATGTAATATGTATTTTTTGTGGTGCGTCTTAATAAGTATTGGACACATTTTGACTGACTGAAAGGTTCCAAAATGTTACAGCCAATTTATTTTGCATTACTTGAAATTTAAAAAATGTACAAAGGCCGCTTAGACAGAGACGCTTTGACAATAACACGTTAGAGTTGTGTTCCAGGGAGGTGATAATGCAAGCGTTGAGACACAGCCTCCAGAGTGGAACAGAACAGATAAACTGGGCAGCGGGGGCGAAACAGCCCTGTGAGGAAAAAGGTGTGGATTCTCTGCTATGACCCAATTGGACATGCGCAGTAGCCGAGAACAAGTGAAAACAAAAATGGCAGCATGTACATTAACTAGCTATGTGTGCTTTGAACGCTACAGGAGGAGAATTCTACTGCTCTGTCCAGCCAAACAAACCAGGCAAAGCTCTAGTTTCAGTTTTCTTTTTGGGAGCTACTGTTAAATGCAGAATGATGATTCTTTCACGTCTTTCAAGTGAATGTACAGCTGGGGGTTGCGTGTGTCATGTCATGTTGTGAAGTTCTTCTGCCTACTACTGGCCGGGCTCTAGAACTACATTGTTTTCAGGCGTCTTCTAAACGCTGCGCAGGAGCCTAGTCGTTTTTTCCAATGTTTTGCAGCGTCTCCGCAGCGTTTCCATCTAAACGAGGCATTAGACTCCATGGACTCTACACTTTTTACTGGAGCAGGCCCAGGATGACAAGGGACACTAAAATCCCCACAAAATCCTATCTTTATGAAAGCTGTAGGTTTTCTGTCGGCTGAGGTTGAGCTGTTTTAGTTTACATCGAGATCTATGGGACTTTTTTCTGGGTAGCCCACGTGAATTTAGTCTGCAGTACCACAGGCGCCCCCTGTGCCTATGGGCGGGACAGCTATAAACTAGTAATACACTATCCATTTATTGCTATAGATCCATGCTCTGAAGTGGGAATTTCAGACATGAAATAACAAGCTACGCAAAATGACCGCATTATTGATCCTTCGATCCTGGCAGGGATGTTGGTAAGTGTCTATATTGCTTAATGTGTATGATAAACTGTAAGCCCAAGCTATTCCCTGATCCTGGATACAGAACTTGGCATGTTTGTTTTAACTCTTTATTTTGAAGGGCTTTTTTTTCTTTGCAAAAAACGGACCAAACAACACGCCAAGCTTTAACAATGCGACTCTCATGCCGTCATGACATTTGCTCCTAAGCTATTGAAAGACCTTCACTCTTAATCAGGAATGCATCCCGACATAAATAAGGATTAATATGGATAAAATGAAGTTGAATACTATGGAACATTCCAGGCTAAATCTATAACATCTCATTGTCATTTTACCAGCATTTATGTTTTTGAGCTGGAGGTTATCAGCTCTTTATACCCAGTGTAATCTGCTGTATGTGGGCCACAGTGGCACGCTGGGTGCTTGAGCTTCTCCCGGGGGCTGTGCAGAGGAAGAGGAGGAGGATAATGCACGCCGAGAGACCATTACTCCAAAACATCTGGAATTACAATCTGATCCTCTGGAATTGAGTTGTTTCAACAGTGAAATGCTCGGGGACTAAAGCATTTAGGCCATTTCACCCACCAACAAAAATATGGGATTTATCTGTTCATTGGCAGTGCATATGTCTACCACAAAATCAATATCCTGGAATCTATTGCACAATTTGCAACAAATAACAAATTAAAAACAGAAGTTAGTGGTGGAATTGCCGCATGAACTTAAGGACACTTTCCATACAGTGGCCTGATTTCCTCTAACAGTGTCCCTACACATTTCTTTATTTATGTTTCTTATTATTGAGATTTCCATTTCACATCCGATTTATGATAAAAACATATTTTTGTTTTTTTAGTGCAAAACCACCGCCACTCTTCTACTGTTTAACTAACTGATTTTGTGTTACCTGGTTCTCAATAGCCTTGCGGTTCTTGGGGTTATGGACCACAGTCAGCTGCAGTTCGGCCATCTTCTTCATCTTGCTGTCCATGTCGATCTTCTGCAGTAAACCTCGCAGCTGGCTCCTCAGCAGACGTACTGTGTCCTCTTTGCCCAGACGCTTGGCCAGAAGTGAGGCGCTGGCTGAATGGACGGCAGTCACCCAGTTCTCCAGGTCTGTCTGGTTAGAAGCCTGGGACGACAAAAACACGCATTTAAGTGATGTATTAACATGCTCCTGTCTAAATACGTCGTCTTTTGTGTGCTTCCCAGTTACCCAATTTTTTTCCGTTTTATCTTTCACTTTCTGTGACTTTTTGGGTGCGTTCCTTCTTTTTTTGTCATAAGATTTTGAATAATGATCTTAAAAAACTTAAAATACTCTCATTTCCTTTCAGACAAAGGGTAATTCAACAAAAAATTGAAAAGAACAAACAAAAATTCAGTAAGAAGCAGTCGGATGTAACCCTGTGTTCTGTGGATCTTTCTTTGCCTCTGGCTGCATGTGACACTGTTTTATTAGATGCAGGTCTGACACTGTCACCTAAAGCATTCTGGGAGCTTATATTCTTATGCTACTCAGCAGTAACCAGGAATGGCTATACATTTGTTAGCAGTATGTAGGTCAGTCAGCGCATTGGTCAAACACAAATATCTCTCCAGGCACTCAATTTAAAATAGGATCAAATAAAATTACAATTTCATAGCTGCCCTCCGGAGGATGAGAGCCAGGTTTACTGTGACACTTGCAGATTTATTGTAACCCAGGTGGGGACTCTCTTAAAAAAATATTTAACAAATACATCAAAGAAAAAAGTCACAGGAAAGAAGCTTCATGTACCTGGAACAGATACACGTCTCCATACGAATTACTGAGGCAGAATACATTCTCTTTTTTGGGATGTTCGGGGACGGCCTGGACAATGCTGTCTTCAGCCAGGAGGGCGTAGCGAGGAGACATGTCCTGCTCCGGGGAGCCTTTACCGTAGGTCTCATAGAAGAGTAATGTGCAGCCTGGAATCAACAATTGACATAACATTACATTTATACAGGATAAGACTTCAGACTTCAGATCTAAAAATACACAATCCTTCATCGCATCAAGCATTTTTAAATTATTTTTTGGTTGCTAAAATGTATAGATTTCCAAGGACAATGAGAAATCAATTATACTCCATAATGGGTTTGCTCACCAACTCTTTATGTTTTTGACATAGGTCATATTTAGCTCAACTCCTGATTAGCGGTCACATGCCAAAATCAGAGCTCACCAAGACTTAAAGTCAAGAATGCAGAATTACCATATAATCCAATTGTAACCCATATAAGTCTCAATCAGCACGTCTTGCTCATTAAGCATAACAAATCTGACCTTTCAGAGTGACCCAGTAATGCTTCCACTTGCGGCGTGTGACCAGCTCCAGCTTCCTGTCTTTGTGCAGCGTGACGAGGGGTTTGAAGGAGAGCCAACCTGCACGCCTCACCATGCCCTGCTCCTTCTCAAACAGGAGGTCCAGCTGCTCCAGTGAGCCCTCAGCCGATTCGCTGTCACTATCCCCCTCCTCGGTGCCCGTGGATGGGTCGGGCCGCTCAGTTGTCCCTTGTCCCGTTCCGGTCTCCAGCTCGCGCATGAAGTTCTCGTAGATGTTCTGCCGCAGTGCATCGTTGGTGCTTTGGTGTATGGTCCCTGAGGATTGGGTCCTAGAAGATCCAGGGAACCACAGAAGGCTGGAAACTTGTGATGGCGAGCTGGTGTCAGTGGTGAATCCATCTACTCCACTGTCAAAGCCATCACTGGCATCTTTGAATCTGCCAGAATCCTATGAAAAATACAACAAAATATTAGTGCTGTAGAAATGAAGGGTGGTGGCCAACCTTTGTATTAGAGGGTAAAGGAACTCACAATATAAAATGTGTGACACTCAATAACCACATCTAGTTTTAGAAATGAGGAGTACTGTTGGAAAAACGTTGTAAAATGCTTCATTACATCGAAAATGAAGGAGTCAGCATTATCAATATAAAAGGCTGTGTGAAGATATGGGACACACACATTCTTGGCAGTATATGTAAAAGACAACTGACCTTTTGTTTCTGTAAAAAGCAACACAACAATCTAAGTAAATGAAAATGAACACACCGTGAATGCTCAGCTTAGTTTTGTGCTATAGTTTTGGATGTGCTTAGATTTCAAGTCATCTATTTAACAAAGTTTGGCCCTTTTTAAATTTTCATAGGTATTGGCCACAATTACATATAAATTACATTTTGCATTTGCTATTTTTAAACTGAGAAACCGATGTTCTCTCTCAAACACTTTCAATTAGACCTCAGGTGGTGCAAGAATTGGCGTATACACTTCCAAAGAATCAAGTCAAATCTACATCAAAGTCAGCATTACAGGCTCGGAATATTTTGGCGAGGCAGAGAAAGTGGGACAAATTTCCTGTGATGGCACCTGGGAGCTTGGAACCCTCCAGGCTCAGACAATTTCCAGCTCTGTTGTGGCTTCCGTATTCCCCAAATGAACACTTGATGGAAGTGTGCTCTTTCATGCTTAATGACTAGTCTACCAACACTTGACTAGATTGCAGCATCAATTTTGCGTGGAGGGTTCTCAACATCGGAACTATGGAACCGCATTGTCATCATATTTTTGACACATTTTTGATAAGCAGGACAGTCATTTTGAATAATGAAAAATATGGTAATTATCATTTTGTAACTACTTTGATCAATGGAAAAAATGTATAGTTTATGTATGAAATAGTTTGATATTAAAGTAGTCCAGCTCCATTGGATATGATCATTTCTCTTATGTGAAATTAACTGTAATATTAATCAATCATTTTATTTTGTGTTGAGACAGAGCATATCTGGATCACGACGCAAACTAATATGCTACTGATTTTATTTCAATTATATTAATACTCTAGGTTAAGCCAAACAACGTGTTTTTTTTCCTTAAACCCCCACACACCCTCAACCCTTTGAACCACAATTTCACTTTCTAACAATTCCATACATAAACAAGCGTTGGGTGTGCCGTTTTTGACATTTCCCTCTTTTTCTGGCCTCGCAGTGCACAGTCCCAGCTGCTTCTCATTACACACAGGTCCCTGGTCTTTGGCACAGAGATCTTGCAGTGACCTTTAATCCACAACAGGGGGCTGCAGTGGAGGGGCAGCGCGGCAAGACGTTGGGCAGGAGTCTGGTTTAGCTTCTGCTGAAAGGAGCTACTGTGACAGAGGCGGCAGGGCACTCAGCAAAAGTGCTCCCAGAAGAACTATATAAATGCAGCAGGAACTTACAGCAGCAACTTTGAGTAGGCAGACCATAACACGGTTTCCTGATATAAAACATATTTACAACTAGTTCACTCATTTGCTGCAATTATGGCACTGTTAGTCTTAAACCACACTATTCATATAATTATTGATGCGATTATCAACTTGTTGTTCTAACCATGTCTTTTCAAGGGACCGTACACTGCCAAAAATAATCAGATATAACTACTGGAACAAGTGGAAAACAACTAGCAATTTCTTACTCTAAATGAGGTATGTCCAAAGTCCAGCCCTCTGCCATTGTATGTAGCCCATGCTAACCCAAAGTAGCCTTTGAGATCATAAACATAAGTTCACGGTTTCATCTAGCCATTTTGAGCTCCGACAGTATAGACATGCTTTACCTTGTACAGCTCAGAGCTTCTGTAATCCAGTCATTGGCTTTTGATTTACTAACAATCACAAACATTGTTTGTACTACAAGAATTGGTATAAATAACTAATGTTACTAGTGACAAAGTCAAATTTGTTATTTCAGTCAATTTCAGCACCGTCTAATCAGAATCAATATGGACATAATATCATACCACCTTTTAAAGCTCAGAATAGCCTGTTAGTTTAAATCTATATCAAACCAAGAACATGGCCAAGTTTGCGTTCTTAACACATAATCTTGATTTTCTGCAGTGGTCAACAGCATATTCTGATATCTTCGAGAATGTCAACGTATAACAAATGTATAACAAATATATAACAAATAATAATAAACTTAAATAGAAAACCTGCTTGTCTCAACACTTCCATCACACAAAGAGCAAAAGCCCAGTTGTATGGTCATAGATTAGCCTCGCACTCCAGTGATCTGTGAGGGTTAGTGGTGGACATTACTGATCTTAATAATGCCCTGTCACACTTAAAATGAAGACTCTGTGTGCCTTGTCACACAGAGGATGCGTTCATCACTCCATGACAGGGTCAAGTTAGGACATATTCACTATTTCATCAATCTAAGACATAATTTAGATGCAAGGACAGAGCCACAAATATCTCTTAGGACCACAATGCTTTGCTTTAAATTTGTTACTGGACACAACTGACTGAGCAGCAATCCTTCTAAGCAGATTAACTCTTGAAAAACCATGGGGCCAACCAGTAAATCTGCCCTAAACAAAAGCCAGTGCAACAATAATGACATTCATTAACATGAAGAGGGGATAGGGTTAAGTCTGTATTTAGGATTTAGTTTCATTCTAAGTGATTCTCTAAAAGCCTCACATTCATTCCCCAAATTAAAATTTGTAACAAAAGCTAAACTGAATACATCAGCTAATTGTTATTTAGTTACATATAAGGGTCCAGCCGTTGATTACTTATTTTTGACATAAAGTTAATTCATTTATAATAATTCAGATATGCAAATGGTAAATTTCACAACAAGACAAATAACATTGTATTTTTGTTATAACTCACTGGGACCCTAAATGATTAATTATTGAAAATTCTGTCAATGAAACTTCCAAGTAGAATATAAATAAATAATATTTGAAACTTCTATTGACACACGGCCCTCACACAGCGTACTACACAGTAACCATTGTGGCTTCTGTTGCATGTTCAACTTCCAGAGAAAAGACATTCACTGCAACACTATTCTACAGAACATGGCTAAATTCTGACACATCTCTAAAGGTTACATGTAAACCAGATCCGACTACAGGAAGGATTCTTCGACACAATACCACGGTTATCTCTATTGCACATACCGTCAGATCATTACATGAAGTCTGCCGGAAAAAGATGACATCATATTGTGAATTGCATTCCAAGTCAATTGTTTAACCTTCTGTTGTGTAATGTTCCCTTACCTGAGACTTTCTCTTCTTGCGGCTGAGACTGCCAGTCCAGTCACTAAACCGTCTGATGCGGTTCTTGATGGAGTCCTTCTTAGAAAAGCCAAACTCTTGCCCACCTAAATCCTGATGCGGTTGCCTCTCTTGCTCCATCCCTTCACTTAAAGTATGAGCCTTGGGTCTCCGACAAGGCAACGTAAACGAAGAGTACTCTTTGGGTTCTGTATCCTGTTCCTCTAAAGGCACATCTACAGCTGAAGCGAACGATGATCGCTGCGGCCTCGCGTCTAACTGAGAGGTTAGGTCAATTGGAAATGTTGCTGCAATGGTGGGTTCCCGGTACAGATCCGAGATGGTCATTGGAGCCTGCTCAGTAAAGGCATCTAGCTGGTGGATAGAAGAGTTATCGAGTGCGCTAACTGATTGGCAAGGCTGCTCGGACTCGCACAGTTCTGTCGCTGGCCCCCATGGAGAGTCATACCAGGAGCCATCTGAGCTAAGAGAACTACCTTTGCTGGTCCTGGCGGTGGAGGAGGTAGATGCAGGGGGTGCAGTACAAATCAAATTGGTATCTGTAGAATTGAGAGCGGATTGTGCTTCCAAATGAGGCGAAAACTTTAGGAGTTGGACTGGACCGGTTGCACCATCCAAGACGAGTGGATTCCCTGATGTGTTGGTAAACTCCACCCTGAGACTTCCATCCTTCTTGATTACCACCCGAGGGCTACTCTGATCCTCTTGTGCCTCAACATCTTCGTTTAAGGCACTTCCGTTAAGCTCTGCCCCGTATGGATTCTCTTCGTAGTCGTCAGAGATGTGCCGCTTCCTTATCCCGCAGGCAGAGGGGCGTTGCCAGCTTGGACTGCCTCTCTTGGTGGCATAGTCGTAGTGGCGGGTGGAGTACGGAGTGTGGTTTTTAGGGGGAGACAGGCAGCCACGGCCAACACACCGGGCTTTGTATGCGGAGCCCACCGGAGCACTCTTCCACCACGAGTGCGGGGAGAGGGCATCGTCTTTGGTCAGGCGAGGCTTCAGGGAGGGCGGCTTGTGCTTTCCGGGGAAGATGGTACCCTTAGGACCTTGGATGCTGTACTGGCTCTCGGAGTTACCCATGGCTTCCTACAAAAAACAACAACAACATTGTGATGAAAATAGATATATGTTAAATCAAGAAGCATTAATGTTTGAGAAAGTATTGGAAATAATAAAAGAATAACATATTAAAACATGTCTGTAAAAGTTGTATAGGATTTTTCTATTAAACTAATAATACGATTACAATACTATTAAAAGACCTTTGGTGATACTTTGATGTTGCTAAGTTTAGAACCAGAATCATTTTTATTTACATGTAAGTAACAGGAAGTCACAGACAAGGAAATTGCTTTGGCTCTCGGTGCAAACAAGTCAAAAGCATAGTAAGGCTGGCATAACAATAAAATAAGGCATAACGAAAAATCTTCATTGGTTTCTCAAATATAACAATAAAAATTAAAATCATTGCTATATATAAGTGCACATTAAGCAGTGCAGTAAGGCGACAGCATTAAAGTGACTTTGTAAAGGGAAGGGGGACAAGGTCATGAAGTGTTCAGGAGTCCAACAGCAGAGAGGAAGAAACTGTTCTTATGGCTGGAGGTTCTGGTCCGAATGGACCAAAGCCTCCTGCCAGAGGGGAGAGGTTGGAACAGGCCAAGTAAGTTGTTGCCAACACACAGCACTCTGGAAAATACATCTCTCCACACATGTGGCAGTAAAACGAATGATACGGTATGACATAATGCCAACTCATCAGGGGTATAAAATTAACCTATTAGTCATAAAGCATAACAAACCACCATTAACTTTACCGTTCCTCTTTCCGAACATCAGTAGCTTCAAATGCTCCGTATGTCTCTTAAATAGCTAAAACATAAATTGTTCCACAGCATATGGTCATTATACCGTAAGCGGTACTCTATTGCAAATTTACTACTTTCTGCCTCCCTTTCTCCAGCAAAGCCAAGTGACATGAGCCGGATTCAAGCTGTTATGGTTGTTATGTGTGACAAAGCGCAGGACAATGCAAAATCACTTCCAGGCAGCTAACAACACACAGTGGATTAGCATCAGGGATCCATGACCACTGCGCAGAAGCTGACAGTGAGGAGGATAGAGTGAACAGCTGCCTGGAGAGACAGAGCTGTGTTCTAGTGTGGCTAGGCATTGCGCAGTACTTGAATATAACACTCTTGCGATACTTTATGAATGAAAACCCCGGGCAGGCGGTGGGAGGCAGTTTGGTATTATGCAATCATTCCCAAAACTCACTGACTAATTTTCAATTGGTAAAACAACATCAAACATACCAAATGATTTTTATCTGGAGTACCTAACTTTTATTGTTTGTTTGATAAATACATTTTGTTTCTCTCAATAGAATTCAAAGTAATATTTAGTAAAAAAATCAGATCACTTCATACTGTCATCTTATGAGAAAACCTTGTACCTTTTACAAACTGGCTGATTGAGTCTGGTACACATTTTTGTTGTGTGACGGGGGCCAAAAATGCAGCTTTGAGAGCAAGGAACTACTTATTACATAGTTCGATCTATTGTCATTTCAAAGTTAGGTAACCCAGATCTTATTTTAAGCATCTCATTTCCAAAGTCTTTCTGATTAACTTGAACAATGTACATTTAAACATGAATATTTGTTGGTATGTACAAATTACTAAACACATGGAGATCCTTCTGTCACTCACCTCACCAGTGTCCTCTTCACAGCTTGGCTCCTATGTGGACGCTTCTCCTTTCCACCTCATCGCACAAAAAAGTCTTCAGTCGTCCGGTTCATCTGAAACACACAGAGGAAAGAGATCTGGTCTTAGTGCTGCGTCCTCAGACTGTAATTCTGCTCCTGTAATCACCTCCGAGTTTGATAACAGGTGTGCCACGTAAAGAGCACATCTAATCCTCACCATTTACCAAAGCACAGTGTATGCCGGGTGCACAGACCCAAACACTCATTCAGCGTTTTATACAATTGCCTGAATGTTCTCGAGATTTCAGGGCTCACTGCGGTGTTACGACAGCTTCTCCTTTACGGAACAGCCCTGTACAGTATAGCAGTGCCGCCCTTCTGCGAGGTTTCCAACTGCCCTCCTTGAATCATCTCTCCCAACCAACCATTAGCATCGCATTTTTCCACCTCCACCGCAAGCAGATGACGTTTGGCCTTTTCATCGAGACTAGCGACCGTTATGACTGCTGCTTTGCTACTAGCTGCGCCGTTTATATTTAAACTTTGGAAACACTAGCCCCCCCCCCCCCCCCCCCTTTTTAAACTTGCCAAATTCATCTGGCGTGCAGGATCCAAAGTCAGGACTGGACCCTGAAGCAGAGAAAGGACATCTGTGTTGAGCATATCCCACCTACATGAATGTAACCGATACTGTGTCCAGGAAGTCATTCAAACTGCGTGCTCAACGTTTAGGTGCATGTACAGGTACGAGGTGTGAGGTTACTTTGTAAACAAGCTTCTGTTCAAAAGTATTAACCTTTTAAGACGATGTGATTATGTGTTTATCTCTGTATCTTGAAAGCACCTTGACTCTTGAGGTGAGATTAAAGAGTAAGCCTACATGCTGACTAAAAATTTGGAGAAATGAAAATGCATCAAACAGAGGTGGAGTGGAAAACAAGCTGTCCATTAAAATACCCAAGACGATGGTGCAAGGTATACATATTAGAAAATACTGTTCTACAAATTAACGCAAGTTTTGTGTGTCAGTTTCAACCCCAGACTTAACATATCAGTGCATGTTTGTAGAAAGAGGATTTGCGGTTGTGATATAATTTTTTTTTCTAAAGGTTACTGAATGAATGCATTTGTGAGGGTAAATCTATTGTAAGAAGTTGGCAGTAGACACACAGGCCTGGTAATGACCTTGATCTGTGTTGATGATGAGCTGATCTGATTAGACCAAACACGTCACACAGATCAGACCAGGAAAATGCTGAATAAATGCTTATTTTAGGAAATGACTCAAAAAACAAGTAGTAAACAAAGCTCATCTCTGAGCAGCTGCACACTACACAAGCATATCTGTTTTAGTTGTCAGACAACTCTTTCTTTTAGCACAACTACTAGCAGTTGCCACACTCTGCTCAAAATATGAAAAGCTGTAGACGGAAACGCACAAGCCTCAAAACACACACATTTGGCGTCTGCTGCCAGTTGAAACGCTGCATTGTGTGAAGCGATTCGCATGAAACAACAAAACAAGTCTTCCTTTAAGCTGTGGCACAAAGGCTCCTCTGCCTCTTCCCTTTTTCTTGTCCAAAATGGCTTCCTACAGGCCATCTGCTCCCAGGCCAAAGGACCACGGGCACCCTGGCCCTCCTCTGCACGCCCCCGTGACCTGGCATTCTTCTGGGGACGCCCTCGGGGTCACACCCTCAGAAAGCCCAGTGTTTAGTCTGGCTCTATGCATGTCTGGTGGAGGACAACTTCAAGGACCACACCTTGATGCTATAAATACGGGTAACAGAGGTGCTCACAAAGACTCCTAGAAGACAAAACTAAAACAGAGCATCTTGCTTTTGGAAACAGAAACCCACAACCTCTTGACATACTGATGCCAGCACTTTAACAGTTGCACAAAAATATAGTCTTTTTAAATGTTATGAAGATCTTAGCATGTCATCCTTATGTTTTAGACAAAACATAACAGTTATTAATGTTAATATTTCCACATTCAAATATGTCTTAAGATTGCATATTGGATTTCAAGTTCACAGTGGCCAACATCATCAGGGTAGTTATTTCAGTATACATTTTGTACATACATAAACTTCAAACCCCACCTCACTCATTTGGAACAAAATCATTTAAAACAATACTTTGCCACTGTCAGGTTTTTGTAACAGGCTATAATTTAATATATTGTACCTGAGGTACAATACACCTCTTCCATTATTAACGAAACTGACTAATTAGCCAAGAGTGTGAATAATGTAATTCTACATATTCCATACGCAATAGCTAATATGGGACAAACTCCAGATTGAGATGTAGAATACCATTAATATGGATTTAAATTCTGACTCAAACATTTCCACACAACGATTGACACAGAGTAAGATTATGAATCAACAAATGACAAATTACTAGTTCAAATAATCAAATGTGTATAAAGTGCTTTGAAGGCTTATACTTGGCGAGTTACTGTGTTATGACAGGGAAGTATATGAGCTCATTTGTTATTTGTAGGGTCTGTTAACACACAAGCATGCTGCCTTCCTCCTGTCAAATCACGGCCCATGGGACTGCTCGCTTATCACTTTCCTTTGGCATGCTGACAATACGCTTATTAAAAGGAACAGCAGACTTTAAATACAATACAAAATAATGTCAAAGCCACAGGAGCAATTTTACTGGTTACCAAAGTCAAGCAAAACAATATTGTTGGAGCCACGGATGGTCAGGGTCTATCTCCCACCAAGTTTTGTCATATGATGCAGATTTACAGGATCCTGTGGCTGTTTACTTAGGAGCTAAACTGTGAATCATAGTGAAAGCCCGTAATATAGTGCGGTGGATCGGGAAGAAGCCACCACACATCCATCAAAGTGCTTGTTAAGTGTCTATTCGACTTTTTCATTATATATTCTCAAAGCTCTACATCTGGCTCCAGACCAAAAATGACATGGCAAGCAACTCAAATGCCATCGCCATTCCTCACTGACACCAAAAGAAATGAAAGTATTCCCAAGGAGTTTTAGACAACATACAATGTTAATCTTGCGACAAAGTTTTCAGGCTGAACTCTAGTCATGCTAAGAAAAAATATCCTTTTTTTTTACTTCACACTGAAATGTGAAACATGTATGTACATCATAATATTGTCCTTTGCCTTTAACTGAACTTCCCAAATCTTTCACCCAATTCAAAACTGTCTGTATGTCCACAACAATGGATCATTCATCTAATATAGAGTCCTTCCGGGAATGAATGGAAACTTTTGTACTCATCAGCCTTCACATCACATCAATTCAACATAGGGCTAAAAAGTCTATGCCACATGCTAGTAGCAACTTGGCAGCACCTGTCAGTATCTTTCACAATGAATGCTTTATATTCACAGTGCCTGAAAATACAGTAAACAATACAAACAAAGCAGCATCTTTAACATCCCTTACCTCTGTGGCTCAGGCTTTAATCTACCGGCTCTTTGTAGAACTACAGATGTCAAAAGTAGACTCTCCCGGTGTAGCCTTCTCCTGTCTGAAGTCTTAAAGCAACACGCACAATATGAACTGACTCATGCGCACGCCCTGGACACTTTGGAAAGACACGTGGAAACTCCCTCCCGGCTTGTGAGAGCAGATTGACGAATCGCAGCCCTACCAGCGTAACCCACGGCAACGGGGGAGAAAACTATCTCAACCCTGAGACGGCGGAGATGCTAGGAGTCTGTTTTGGAGTTGTTTTTCCGACTGCCAGAGTTTTCCACAGCAGTAGCAAGGAGTTTGAGAAAGCGCAAAGCTGGCTGTAAGGGAGGTGGCTGGAGGGAGGCAATGACTGGAGCCCTTGTCTGACCCGAAATACCACTATGACCCCATGAGGCCAGGGAGGTAGCAGCACAAGGAGGAAGTATGTTAGGCGGCCAATGACTAAGTGTGCATTCCAAAGAATTAGGAACGCATTTGGAAATTACTGAAGGGAAATTAAAGCAGCAACAAGGCTAAACTGTTGATGTTTTAAAAAACAGTGGAAAGTAAAGTCTGTATGAGTGGCAGTGTGACTGAGCCTTATTATTATATATTCCAGAAGCAGAAGACCACTGTCGTCTCTTAAACACATGCATGCATTCATTTGTCTACACGTCGCATAGTTGTGGTCGCCAACTCAAACTGTACCCATTCACAAAGCCACAGCACAACTCCACACTGCAGCGCAGGGGCGGAATGTGACCAAATACGGGGACTAATTTACTATGCTTAAGCACTTTACAGGATTTTACATGATTTGAGAAACCAGTTTGTCACGGCTGTGTGATACATTGCTTGAGAGAATGCAGACAAAGTATTTTACACCACTGAACCCTTAACCCCAATGCAAAAAATCTGTTCCAAATGTCAATGTAACATCAGAATCAGAATAATTTTTATTGCCACGTAAGTAAAAACATGAGGTAGATATTACAATGAATGACATGTGCTTTCAGTAGGGCTACAACTAACATTTGATAATGGACAAATTAAGTGATTATTCCTCTGATTAATTGATTAGTTGTTTAGATCATGGATATTATTTTCTACATTTGACTGACAAATATATAAGTGAAGCCATTCAAGGACATGATTATATATCATCCATCCATCCATCTTCTTCCCCTTAACCCATTTCTGGGTCGGGTGGATGGCAGTCAGAGCTCCACCAAATTCACAGAGTACCAGCCCCTCACTGACCCTTTTATTAATCCATTTATCTTTGAGGTAAACAAATCTCAGTGAATTTGTTATAAAAAAGAGCCCTAGAATGCAATAGAGACTAGAAACAACACTCCAGCACCATTTAACGCTTCCTTGTTTTTTACCGTGTGTGATAGAAGTCGTCACATTAGGAGTGCAAAATGGGAAAATATGACACCGACCATTACTATATATCCCCATCTCCACAAATGTGCTCCTGAAAGCGCTTACTCAATGTCACGGCCCTAAGAGCAGCTGTGGAATAGTCCTCCATCAACCTCCTGCTTGACATTGAGCGTGTCAGCACTGAAGACACAATATTAGGCCTCAACAACATTGTTAACAGCACAATGGTCCCCGTGGACAAGTCGGGCCTGCTCTCAAAGCCCTTTGTTAGGCTCTGGATGGTGCTAGCTAAAAGGTTAGTCAACAGCATGAATTAAGAAAAATGAAAAGACCCGCCAAGAAAGAAAGCTTTACAGAGCTGAGGAGTTTGTAGTGTTGCATATTCATTCTCAGAGCAGGTGCTGCAGCTAATGCCAGTCATCAAGTCATCTGACTGACCCTTAATTAGGATTAATTAAGGACCAAGTTGCATCTCATGTGCTCAAAATATTTCAATAGATGCCTGATCATAATACTTCAGTTTATAAGGAAATATTTGGAGGGAGACACTCACCATTCCTTAATATCCTTTTACTGACCTCTAGTGGCTCAAACTGTAATCAATCATGTCAGATTACAAATTAGAAAGTAATATAGCCCCACTCCAATCACTAAAACGATTGCTTTCTTTTCCTGTGTAAAGTGATTGGCCTCAAAAGGCAGTGGGGCGGTGTGCAACACGTTTATCTGCAGATTTGCCTCAGGCTCCGTCTTGAACACAGTGTTGATAGAGCTCCCAGATGACCTGATGGCCTTTCTGTAACACACTGCAACAAAGCCAAAGGACAAAGCAGCGTCTGTGACCGAGGTGTAGCTCAACAGGTTTACAGGTGCACAGGAATAACCAAGACCAGGGATAGCCAGCAGTAAAACAACGGTTTCATCCTTAAAAATTGTAGCTGATGGACTTTTACAAGCATAAGCTGAATCTCTGAGGAACAAGTCATTGGTAAGTGTAACAAATAATAAAAACGTGATCGTGCCTCAACCACTTGACAATAGGAAAAGAAAAGCGCCATAAAACAAAAACTAATGTAAATATGTCATTGACAAAAAACTAAGTTAGTCTCTAATTAGTAATGTATGTATGTATTGTATTTGTCGTCCAGTCAACTAGTTAAAAATACTGAAAACAGATTGTTGCAGTTTTCAATCTATTCGGACGGATACTTACAACTTTTTCATGCAAAAGATGCATAGCACAATTAATGTGGACAGATTACAAAGTTGATTTGATTTGATTTGATTTGATTCAGATTACAAAGTCTATCCTTCTTGATGATAGATGTGGCAAAGTGAAACTGACTAAAGAGAAAAAGTAAGGGGCCACTAGCTGTTTGATTCTGCTGCACAACGGGAACCACAACCAAAGGGGAATAAAAATGTCTTCTGGTCAAAACGACACTAATTACCCCTAATTGCTCATTCCTTGTGGTCTAAAGTATCTGGGGATATTTTTTTTCTTGGGTAACGAAGGAAATCGGGGTCGCAGTCTATTGGAATTTACTTAAGCTGGGATGTTTTAACTAAGGGCAAGGGTCAGTTCTTTTGTTTGCCGCTTATCCGTTTGCTCCTCCCTAAAGAATCTGATGTCAAAAAACGTGTCTCCATTTTTGACTCTGAGGTTATCCACCCGCCAGATGTTGTCCAGTTTCTTCAGTTACCTGCAGTGTGATTTCTATTTTAATCTTTAGTTCACCAGCTGTTTCTTTGAAAATTTGCAACTAGTGACATAAGCAACAACCAGGACATTTGGAGTTCACTAGAAAGCGCCTGGCTCCCTACAGTAGAAGGAAGTATGGCTTTGTTTGAAGCACAACAGGACTATTCATGAACTGTCCCAGATTATCCCCAAGGGGTACTGGGGGTCTTCCTGTTACTCTGTGGCTGTAGATTTACATGGGAAAGACACAGGGAGGTGAGGGTTAAAGAGGAAAAACAACTGGCGGATACAAGCCTGGGAAGAGATGGGGCAAACAGCTGGAAGCATACAGGTGCAAATATGTGCTCCCAGCGATGGTCTGCAAATGAACAAGCTTAATGGACAGAAGAAACGTTTAGAAACTCGAGCCTGTGAAGGACATGTCAGTATGAGAACGTGAACTTAGTTTCAACCTATCGGAATAATGGGATGCAGTTCCCATTGGGCAACGAAACATCTGTGCAGCAGTGATGGAGTCAATCAACGCTCAAGGAATTCATTACAACAACATACAATGAGAGGCTTCATCTGACTGATTTGACACCTGTTCATAAACAGTGAGCTCATGGGTGTCAGAATACAACTTCATCTTCTCTAAAAATTAGATCAACTTTATATCACAATTGAGTATGAAACCAGGGATGCAACAAGTTAATTGATTATTGAAGTAAATTGGTTATATTTATTTTAAACTTACATGGACTTTTTTATGATTCAGATAATTATATAATGACTGCAGAATGAAAATGTGTGTACAAATTAATGTTAGGATCAATCTCTAAGATGTCCTCCTTACTTGAGCTTTGTTTTTGTAAAATATACTCCCTAAACTTTCAAGAAATTAATAAAACTAAAAAAACAAACACAAACACACACACACACGTTTGCATAGAAGTGGTAGTAAAAGTATGGCCAGACACACTTTGCATGCAGCATGTGAGAAGACGGGGCAGATAAGAAAGCTGCAGGGTGAGCACACACCAGCCCTGCCCAGGGCGACAGTACAGGCTGTAAAACATACAGCTTCTACTGGTCACAGAACACTCTCATTATCTCCATAAGAGATAAGACAGACAAGAGGGCCTTTGAGGGACAAACAGGAGACAATAGTGTGAAACGTGGAGAGGAAAGATCCATACAGAAGAATGCAGTATCGGGTGTGGGTTAGTTTTCATTACTTTTCCCCAAGTTGATAATTCAATGCATGCATGACTTTTCACTTATGTAGAAAGTGCATGATGTCCTTTCCTTTCAGTAAGATCATATGTCATAAAAGACAAGGTGCAAGCACTGTGGTGATTAATAGGTCTGTTCGCTCATTACCACCCAGGCCTGATGCCCGCTGCTGCAGTCAGGTGAAGCGGACACACTCCATCCTCCCGGAGGTGATCCATCAGCCATCATTGACCATCGCTACAGAATCAGTCACATATAAGCAGCTGGTAGAGGTCACTGCAGCTCCCAGGGACAAAGCAAAGAGGTTGAGGGGGATTTTTGGGAGTTTTGACACACGCATGCACTATAATTGAATAGAGAAGACGCACGTGTGGCTTCCATCACTGGATACATCAGGGAGGAGAAATATATTGAGGGTGCGATAAAAATCATTCCAGCGACAGAAAAAGCCCCGACATGAGGCAGTGTGAATAAAAGCGGCATGCAGTGGCTCAATGTGTTTTTTATGTAGGATGCCAGGGCAAACAAGCGTGGCCTGGCTTTGTCCTCACAAAAACACATACACTTGCTAATGTGGACCAATAAAAGGAATTACAATAGTCTCCTTTTAGGGGTTTTTTGTGTAAACTCTTTTATAACTGGAAAAATACCTTATTCAAGTCCTTAATCGAATCCTTTAATGTATTGATTACTGTTGCTATTTGATGAATGTTACTATGCCAACCTGCTGTCTACATACCAGGGCACACAGAGGGGGATGTGCGAAGATTTCAACATGTAATTCTAAACAAACAAACATTTCACCTAATTTATCATGTTTGTATACTTTAAATGAAGCTTTTAATTAGAAAGCTAGTGGTTGTGAGGGTCAGTTGCAGGGTTATTAAGGGGGCCCAGCCTATAATCCAGAGATTACTAAATTTGACTATTCTTTCACATAATGCCCTATAATACCTACATGTGAGACTTCTATTGCCATCAGTCACTGCCAGGCCCTAATCCCTGCAGACATTCTTGGGAAAGCTTGACGCCAGCCAG